TGTATATATAATAAAAATATAATTATATAAATAATTTTAAAATAAAATAAATAAAATTTTACATTATAGAAGATATAAATCATGTTAGTTTCTTACTCTATTATGTTGATAATTTTATAATTTTAGATAATGTTATAGGATATTTTAAGAATTGATATTGAAATGCCAATGTCATCTTGAAGTACTATCAAATATGAACATTTGTATTGTAGTATCCAAGCCATATGTAACTTTTAAAAATTATCAAACATTAAATCACATCTCAAATATGCGTTGGACATTTCAAATATATCACCAAACACACCCTTTAAATGTGCTCTTTGAGGTATGCTTCAAATAGGTACCTGCTTGGTTTGAATCGCCAAAACTCATCGCACCCTTTAAATTGTCTTAATATGTTGTTGAATCATCTTTGCTCCTTTTAGCATTCTAGTCTCAGTATTTTAAAAGTTGTATTTGCATCTATATAATTATAAAAATGAAGTATCTAGGTCTATTTACCATGACGTCGTCGGTCTTACCAATAGAAACAAGAAAATAAATAATAAAAAAATAATTTTAAGGTTTCAGTTGATGAAGAACGACGTCGGTGGTGACGAACAATAATGCCACTAGGGTTCGACAAGAGATAAGAGTCGTTTTGTATCTACATCGGCATCAACGCAATTGGCGAGTAATGAAAGGGTCACTCAACATTTGCATCGGACATCAATGTAGTTGTCGAGCAACGTCGCTCGGCATTTGCATCGATAGTCCTTTCGTCGCTTAACAACTGCATCGACATCGATACAGATGTAGAGCGACCCTCTATCTCTCGTTGTCATTCTCTTCATCTACAACATCTACACATGGCCCCCAATGCCGTTGTCGTAGCCACCACTAATTAGAATGTTAAAATTATTTTTTTAATTTTTATTTTCATGCTTTTATTAGTGAAACCAGTGAAGTGATGTTATGATAAATAGAATATTTTACTTTTATAATTATATGTATGCTAATATAACTTTTTAAAATATATGAATCATGATATTAAAAATAATTAATTATATAAGATAATATATAATTAGCCCTGCAAGAAAGCTCCAAAAGCTCCAAAACATCAACATCACATGCTCGAGCGAAGGCAGACAACGTGATCCAAGCTTCATTGAAGTTATCGTAGGGGATGAGATATGGCAACTTTTGGAGTGCTTGAAAACAACTTATGGTTTTCTAGGTCTCCTTGGTGTTTAACGATATGCTAATAGCTAGATCGAATGAGGTATGAGAATTCCTCGACACATATAACTAAAGATTGAGTTATGTTTGAATACAACAAGTCATAACGTAAAATAGTGTCACTAAGAGTGTCTCAAAATTGAAGACATTATTCATGTCATCGTAAGATATTTATAAGGCATAAAATCGTAAGGCATTATCCGTGTCGAGTCTCCCTTGTTCTTAGATATGCCTTTCGGAGCTCACGAGCTTTGAAAGGGAAAAATCATAATATGTATACCTATCACTCAAAGCGAACAATTCCTCGTGAGCCTACGAGTCGCACTAACAGCGAACCGACCAAATGTTCCATTATTAGATTGGCATTATGGCTCGAGATTTACACATTGACCAAGCAAACCCGCTCTCAAGCCATGCACCTCAGCTCTTGGCGCTCTTACGGGAGAAAACATTGATAAGATCATTTAGATCTCTCTTATCCTTAGAAGCTTTTTTTGGAGCTCACGAGTTCTAAAATGGTAAAACTATGCTCATCACTCCAAATGGATAATTTTTCACGAGCCTACAAGGTCGAGCCGACCAAATAGTCCCTTTTCATTTTCGATTCCATAAAAAATAAAATCAAAACCAAATTGACTTCACGTAGTTTCAACTTTGCACCTATCAGTTTTGATTCCAGTTCAAACCTTTAGTTTCGATCCATGAAGATGAACAAGTTTAAGAAGTTTCATCAAGAGTCGAACTCGATTCGTGATCGACTTAATCTCAGTTTGATTAAACCATACGTGGTTCCCATGCACAACAAGGGGGTATCAGTGCTTGCCATCGTCACTGTCACCGCATCTCCGAGCGCTGCACTACAAAACGAATAAGCCCTAAGAGAAAGCCAGGAATCAAGATTCGTGTGCAGTATACTTGCAGCCCTTTGCTACCTGCTAAGCATAATAGTACCGAGACGACGGAGACGACCGCCTTCGTAATCACATGACAACACACCTCCCGACTTCCCAGCTTTCTTTTATCTTCTAAAGATCAGAAACTAGTAGACGAACCAAAGCGCTGCAGACACGGAGACCCGACGGAGGACACGCACACACACGCACGCATTCCTACTCCCTCCTTTGCCCCCATTCGAGGATTTGAAGTGGCAGCTGTTTCGAGGAGCTTTCACGCCAAAAGAAGCGTCCTAATTATCCGATCTAAAACAACGCCAAGCTTTTCTCGACGAACTCCAACATCGCCGTGCATTGTTTTGCTCCACTTGTGTGGATTCGACTATATCGAATTGAATCGGAACTTTGTTCGGTCATGATTAGAATTTTCTCTTTTAGAATTTTGTTTCATTAATAACAATTATTAACCACATGATAGCAACATTATTTGTACATGAAATCTGGACATTGTGAGTGACATCGACAGTAGTGCAGCGGATAATGGCTTTGGCAGAGGAGAAATAGTTTCAGTAGGTGAGGGTTTGCGTCCTCTGATGATGAATGTTAAGGGCATCGCGACGCTGCTGCTGCTGCTGCAGTTGTTGCTGCTCGAGGTGAGGGGAGATTATGGAGATGAGGCCGCCGAAGGGGGGCCGCATCTTGGCGCGGTACGCCATCTCGTCGTAAGGCCGCCGGTAGAACCTCAGGAACGGCAGGAAGGACTCCCGCTCTCGCTCCCCTCGGCTCACCACCGCCTGCCCCTCCTTCCAGAACGTAAACAGCGTCGCCGGCGACTGCAAGAACGACGGCCGCGGGGTCCTCGGTGGGTGTTGCTGCTGGTGAGGGTGCGTCGGCGGCGGGAATGAGCAAGGAGTGGACGGTATGCTCCGGCTGGCGCGTGGCGTCGACCGGGCGGCCGGGGAGGCGAAGGAGAAGGACCGGGCGTTGAGCGGGGAGGCGCCGACGAGGGATGGGCTCGCGGTGGGCATCACCGCGCGTGGGGTGGCCCTGGTGGTGGTGGACAGGTACCACGGTTTGAGGGAGTCGAGGTGGGAGACGGTGAATGAGAAGCGGGAAGACGTGGAGCCGCCGAGTCTGGCGGTGGTAGCGACCACCGGGTCGAACCGGAGCGACGCCGCTCTCGTTCGGCACGACGCGAAGGCGGCATCCTCGATAGAGTCGTCGAAGTCCAGTGACGACACCACCGCGGTGACCACAGACAGTTCCACGAAGGGACGAACGCCCTGCACACACCCGCCACCCGAACGGTGAGTACTTAGACAACAGAAGAAGAGAACAGCACCAAAGACTTGACACCACACCTTCCAAAGGTAGGAGAACAAGGAGGGTGGATCGACGACGAACGCCTTGTGGAGTCGACCGGGGTAGTAGTCGGAGATGATCTTGAGAGTGCCCATGAAAAGGTTGAGGAAAGCCGGCGCCGATCTGAACAAGCCTGCATTTTTCGTGCAAGTACGAGCATCGCTTAGCTTAAGAAACCTCAGAATGCATCTTCTAATTATGCAGCAGCTAAATCGTGCATTGAATAGGTGAGATACGGTGGAAGTATGCGGATTCAATGGTCCAGATATTGGTCAGAGACAGAGTTCTCTGCTTCTGCCGCAGCAGCAGTCTCAAGAAGTGGGCTCTTTTTGACCCGCGAGGCCACTGACAGAGCCACTGCAAGCAGACAGAAACCAAACTCACCACAGAACTTCTCTCTGCTACCTTTTACTTTTTTCCGGTGAGAGCTCAAAGCCTCAACCCCCCACTGGATCCTATTCTTAGCTCCGTAAGTACAGTGCATTGCCCATTGTTACAAATGAGAGTATGAGTGGTGTATACTTGCGTAGACGTCGAACATACTGGCATCAAAGAGGATGACGAACTGGTCAACGAATCTGGACATCGACGAGATGGCCACTTCCAGCGTGAAGACCAGGAAGCGCACGAACCTGCACGAATGGAAGAAACGGGTTGACGAATGACCCAAAAGAAGAAGGAAAGCAGCGATGGGAACTCACGATTTCTGTGAATGAGTTTTGGCGTAATCTTGTTTGATGCGGAAGACCTGCAACAAGGGATTCACTGATCATCTATCGAAAGCAGGCAGGACACTTGAAGTTCATGCCGATAAAGGAAGGAAAGGGAAGTGGCAGTACCATGACTGGCCTGGCTTCGTCGTCGTGACCAGCCACATATGCCAAGCCACCGGCAAGCTCCGCAGCGAACTCATCGGCTATTAGGTGATCTGCTTATTTTGGTCCACAGGAAACGAAACATCGGTTAGTCCAAAAGGATAAAGGAGCCACCGAAGCATGGAAAGTTGTGTTGCTTCAAATGTTTCTCGGAGGAGAGCCAAAGAAGCCGATACACCAGAAAAGAGACCTCAAGATGAACCCAAAGACTGCAAAGAAGAGAGAGACATAGAGAAAGAGAGAAAGAAGGTACCAAGTCCTATGCTTTCCCGCCAAGAAAGGGCGGCTCTGAGCTGCTTGGCCGCCTTCTTCAGGCTGTCGCCTCTGGCTCTCAGAAACTGTTCCACGCAGGCATCGTTGCAGAACTTCTCCTGCGACAGACCCAGAACACGATGAGAACAGTGAGAAGAACCAAAGCAAGAAGGCCATGCAACTCCATCATCTCAAAACCTGCTTCACCGTCAGGGGCGCTTGCTTCTTCAAGATCTCGAGGACTGCCTCGATCCGTTCTCTGTCATTGGGCTGTTTCCTCTCCATCCCCATCTCGACTCAGAAGGCCAACTAAACAACGACAAGCCAACACTTCAGTTCACCTACCCTTTCATCAGTGAAGGAACGAGAGACCAGCCGAGAAAACCTACTCCTCGAGCTGCGGTGAAGTGTCTGCGAGAGAGAGCGTGGGACGAGAGGCTGAGAGTATATATAGAGGACGAGCAACTGACGGCAGCCGTTATGTGACAGGCGGTTCGGCCCGACCCGAACCGCAGCAGCTCGCTGACGGCGCCAGGACACACGTTACGGCGAACTGTTACTTTTACCCGCTGTTGGTTAGCCCTCTTTTATCACCGATGCCCTTTTCCGTTCGATTCGTCCACGTGTCGACTTCGGACGGCTGAGAGGGTTCCGCGGACGCCGACGCACATTTATTGCGGGAATTAGTGGGTCCAATGGCGGTGATCTGATCCCTAGAATAATCTTCTTTAGCCTTTTAAGCCGCTTCATTTAACTTTTCGGATCTAAACCCCACCGGGTCCGACAGAATCGATCCGATAACCTGACGTGCCAGATCATGGATATGACATATATATATATATATATATAGTTACAGGGCGACCTTACGATCTTGATTGGACGGATGTGATGGGCAAGTGGGAATCCTTCTCCTGCACACCGACAGACGAGGTGGGCTGCCGTAGAGGAAGACGGTGTCATCCAAACGCCAGTTTCCATTCACATCTCACCAGCTTCCGAAAGGCCAAAGTCAAAACTCGAGGCCAAACCCATGGAGAATCTTGTGCGGTTCTACCGGAGGAGGAAGGAGTATATACACACTTCGTCCACATTCCCGAGGATCGGGATTGAGCTCCTGTGTGCCGGATCTCACACGGAAGAGAAGAAGACGCTGTCAGTTGGATCGTAGCGGGCGTTTGTTTCTCTTGTAGGGATCGGAGGGGCGAGAGATTCTTGCCTCTGTGTCCGTTTGGAGGGGTGCGGTGTACTGAACAAGAAAGTATATGTTACGGACATATGCATACAGGGTGTGAGGTGTGATCGCCCTTTCGAACGGAAGAGACGGCTGGTGGATTCCGTCCACTGTGTCAAAAGCGTTGGTGTGACCTTTTCCTTCATTCTCTATCCCGATGCGATCACCTAAATCCATGGTGTTCAAATTTTGAAATGTCTTAGTGGGGAAGACGAACAGCACAGCAGCTGATACGGGAAGAGAGGCAGGGTCGCACGGGCCACGTTATTAGGGGAATCATTATATTCCATGGTGCTTCTTCCTTTCTCGGGCTGCGGTGGATGACAAGACGAGGGGGGAAAAGAATGGTTAGGAGTAAACCCGGCATCATCATCACCATTACCACGGGGCTGCGCGATTGCCTCCATCATTCCACCGGCCTTTACCATGTGAGGTGGAGCAGCTCACCGGAGTCTCATGACCTTGTCGATGACGATGGTCGGACCATGCAACTGTACGTTCTCTCACATTCGAGCTGACTGCGTGGTTGACGCAGATTTCTTTGAACGGACGTAAGACTTCGGACACAATAATAGTTAGCATCGATGGCAGTTTGTCTCATCCGCTGTCGTTGACGTTCGAAGCTTTGGCACCGAGGAAGCATTCAGACAAACACTTGTTTCATCTTAAATTTTGCATCTTCCGAGGAAGACTTCAAACCATGCGAATCGTATGGCATGTGTTTGATCACTCAAACAAATTGCAAATTGAGATCTTAAGTGCAGATTAATCTTGGATAATGGAAACGGTCGTTGTCAGTAGAGAACACCCATAAGAAACTTTGAGCGAATTGAGGTGCTAACCCTCGTAAAGACAGCCGATGATTTATGTGAGCTGCGGTAATCGGAGGGTTAAGCCAAGCAGCAAAATCTGCTCTTGGAGGAGAAGAGACAGCTGCATGCGGTCCTCGCCATGAAAAAGACTGCAGCAAGTTCACAGCATATGATAACCCAGCTGAGAAAAATGGCCACAGCAGAGTACTCTACACCCACGCGACAGCTGCCACACGAGTACGGCGCATCACGCAAAGACGAGTTCGCAGGCCGTGGGGCTTATACTCCAACACGAGCCACCTCATTTGGGTGGCTCAGCAGCACTCACTCGGCCTCTCTGCTGCATCTCATCTCTGATCTCGTCTTCGCCACTTTGCATACGCATACGAAAAGCGAGAGGACTCATCTTCTTGTCCTTTGTCTGCACGGCAAATGTTGAACTTATTCATCTGCCATTATTAGGTACTAAGGTTCAGTACATGGTGGGTCAGTCTGTGTTGTCCTCTACTGCGGAATCCATGGTTTTCTTTCGGAACCATCCTCACCACATAATTGGATGATTAGAAGGATACATTTGGCAGTGACATTGACCTGTTACCTAAACAACACAGCTAGAAGGGAAGGAGGAAGGGGGGTGACAAGATGAACCTTAGAAAAACAGGAACACCATGCTCATTTGCAGCCTGTTTGCTGCAGCCTTAAACATGCAATCATTGATGCAAACTGCTAGAAGTGATCACCGCCTGCAGCAGACGTACGTTGGCAAGCTGCTGTGGGAAATGTCAGAGAAGTTTTCTATCGTCTGGTATGCAAGCAAATGGATTCATGCAGCAGTAGGAGAAGAGGATACGTTTAGGCAGCAGGGCATCCATCCATCACAGCTCAGCTCGGAGATTATGGAAAGTGGGTGCCTAAGAAGAAGCCAAATGAGTGCGATCAGTAGCAATTAAAAGAATGACAGCAACATTGCAGAGAAGAGGACAGATGAACAGGCCAATAAAGCATTTTGTAGTGTCGTCAAATCTAGCAAGGTGGCACTAGTTTTGTCTATGATTGCCTCTGCCACAACTTGGCACCAATGGGAATTATTGTTCTTGACTGGTCTGTCCTGTTTCATAGCAGTGAGCCCACTTCTGATGTGGATGGGAGCATCCCAAGCCATGTGTTATCTTTCCACCTCTGGGAGATCTAAAATCATAGCTAAGATGGAAGAGGAAAAGTTTCTTGAATTTTGTGACAATAAAAATAATTCTCCTGGAGATTTATTAATTCTATGTATTAGATTAAGCCTGGTTCTTATCATCTTAACCATGACTGCATTGATTGGTAGACAATATGCTAATCGTTCCCCCGATATTAATAATCATATATCGTACTATAAAAAGACTTCGGGTATGTTCTAACCCGATACGCTTAATCGAATTGCGTCGAATATGTTCTTAACGTAATTTTATAGAATCTCAATCTACAATATCTAAACTCTTTGATACCTCAACTTGATTAAAAAGTGGAGCTCGGTTAGATCCAAATCTCTCAAAATATGCATATCCATTGGCAATAAATTTAGACATTTAATGAACTCAAGTAAGATAGCTACGCTATGGATCTCTTTTGTTCTTATGGGATTTGAAGGTTGCATGTGGATGCGACATGTCATGCCTCGAGAGCCCCATAGCGTGTGGACCAGTCATGCACGCATGAACAGATCGCTTCCCTCAAATGATTTGGGCTTAGTAGTTTGGGCTTACGACTCGGCCCACTGGGCTGAAATCACAGGTATTGACAGGATTCAATTTCGGTTCTTGATCGATTTGATTCAGTTAGAATTGAACCGTAGTCGGGTCTACAAGTGGTAGAGGTGTTCAAATCGAATCGGTTCAAACTGATTTGGTTTGGTTCATTAAAATTTCGATTTTGAATAATATAAATGGTTGTAGTTAATCTGTTCGAACTAAATCAAAGCTATTTTAAGTTTTGCTCTATAATCATTTTCGTATACAATTGAACAATAACTTCGTAACTTATCTTTGTAATAATCGATTACTGCATAATCTTGTTCATGTGTTACCACCGCTGAGATAGAAAACTAACATGATATTTGAATCTGGTAACTAATAGGAAAAATAACGATGTAAGCATTACACTGTTGACTCACCCAGTCATGGACTACCCCATCAGCAATGACATGCGTAGAAGAACTTGCGCCCCTCTACAACAATCGGCAGGAGCATGATCCTCCGGCCCCTGCCTACCTCGATCTCTAGAAGGGCTGCACAAGTCAGTCGTAGGGTACATTAATCCTTGACAACGAGGTTCATCCTGTAGTGTCGCTAGTAACTCGTCTCCCACCATCAACCATGATTTCAAGAAGGCACATATGTCCATAGGACATTAATCCCCTTTTCCCTCTCTTCGAATGCTTGGCACGAGGGACCATCCCCTACTTACCCTAGACGAGCTCTAGCCCTGACAAATGACACTCGCTCTCTCAGGCATCATTCTCTGACGCCACACTCAAAAAGGCATGTTTGCTAGATATCGATATGAATGAACCACTACATAACCTCAAGGGTCTCGACCAGCCACCAATCGTACTCTATAGGTCGCCTAGGTATAAAAGTCAGTCCCAAAACCTAAAGATGAAAGCATCTCTACTACTTTCACTCCCCCAACTGATTTTACTATTGGAGGAGTTGGGTCAAGAATATCCCTCGACGTTGATCGTTTATAAGGATCTCAGCAAGGCAAGACTAAGGCGCACCTTGGGATGACATTGAATCTACCTCCGGTGAATAGGTAGTGCCTCGGGATTGCATCAACCGGATCCGCTCTCAGCTCTAGCATCCTCCTACGACCCCTCGTGGACTCCCGAACGAGCTTATGCCTTCGGGACCGAACCAAGCCGCGACGACTTCACGATATCAACGCAACAATAGTAACAAAAGCACCAACACAGAAAATAAGTACGTGAACAGAACCTGCTGTTTCTCGTTCACTTACATTAGACTCGTTAGTCATTACAAGAGAACTCAAATCTACGGAGAGAAATAATATGAAGAATGAACAAATGGATATGCGTTGTTAGAACTTAGAAAAGTACGTAACATCTACCGAATCAGTAGTCACAGACAGAAATGCAGAAGACAGAAGAGATGGTGAAAGGAAGAAGAAGAAAACTATCGATCAAATTACATGCAACAACGATCAGTCGACCATTATGAGGACTGAGTTGGGATACCTCAGGTGGCCTTTTCTTTCTCATGGTAGTGTGCCGAACTGTGGCATGTCACTCCAAGCTGGCCATGGAGTTCCATTCCATGTGCTTGTGTTGTTGCTGCCGTTGTTGTTGTTGGTCATGATCGTAGTCGTATTGGTGGTGGTGGTGGTGGCAAGGGGGATGGTATAAGAAGAAGACTCGATGAACCATACTGGTGAAGTATTGTGCTCACTGCTGACACGAACCTTTGTGGACTCGTTGCCCTCCAAGCCGGCATCTTTGGAGCTCGGAGTTGGGTAGGCAGGCATGCTGCTTCTGCTGCTGCTGCTGTCTGTATGAGTTTGCCCTCCGAAGAAGATAGCCAATCTCTGCTGCTGAAGTTTCCAATGGAGATCTTGGTTAATGGAGCTCAAGGATTCGATGGAAGGGGCAATGCTATTGTTCGCATGGCTTTTCCCCACAGACGAAGAGCAACCGCCTGTGTCGCTATAAACCCCTACAGCAGAGGCCGGGTGGCGATATTCCATCATAGGAGTAGCAGCCATGCCGGATGAGGAAGACATCGTTGCACCGGGCGAGGAGATCATGTCTCCGAAGGAGATGCACTGGTTGCCGTTGAACACGTCTGAAGCAGCCAGAGAATGGAGACCGGAGAAAGGGAGGACACCGACCTGGAAGCCTGGGGAGAAGGAGGGCAACGAGCTTAGGAACTTTAGGCCAGCGCCGGAGTCAGGTACTCCGAGCATGGGATCGATCGACTCGAGCGACAGGCGCGACGTTGTGGACGATCTGGACCGCTTGTTCTTGCGGCACCCGCCGCCGATGGGCACGTTGCGCAGGGCGCCGCCCTTGGTCCAGTACCGCCTGCAGGCCTTGCAGTAGTGCCTGGGTTGTGCGAGGCTGTAGTTGTTGTAGTAGCAGAACTTGGTGTTGGAGGAGTCACATCGCGGGCACTTGAGGCCTTGCTCCGGCTGCTGCAACTCGGCGGCGGTCGCGGTGCTCTTGCTGCCTCCTGATGCGTGGGAATCGTCGGCCATCATCTTCTTCCCTCTTTCTTCTCAGTGAGAAGGGGAGGCGATCGGTATTAAATAGCGGGTGGGAAGCGTTGAATATAGTGGGGGTAATGGAAATGGGAAGAAGGTGTTGGATTAGCTGTGTTAGCTTTCCTGCGGCGGAGGCAAAGGAGGGAGCCCCTATTCATAGGTTTCATGCATGGGATTGACAGTGCAAAAGCGACGTCTGATCCAAGCTTGTGACTGTCATCAAGTTGTAGGAGAGAAAACGGACATACGCCTTGGGTTTGTTGTGTCGTCCAAAGAGAGAGAGAGAGAGAGAGGCAGAATAATTGAAGCAAAAGGAGAAGGAGACCATTCGGAGAAAGATTGACAGACAAGATTAACTGACGCCTCCTGAATCCACCTGACACTCCACAGAGCAGAACAGTGGTATTGGTGCATTGCTTCCCTGTGATGCTCAAAAAATTGGTATCAGCTTCTGTCATTACATCACAAGGATCACTTTGCTCTGGACTTAGCATGAGCACATAGGAACTGGGCAATTAACCTACAGCCACCTCATGCACGATGGTAGTTGTTACCTGATGAATAAAGTGGTCGTCCGATCTGAAAAAGATGATTGGACTGTACTCCGGTCAGCCAGCCACCGCTGAATGCAGGTTGTAATTGTCCTCTGAGTGTTTGAGCACTTTGTCCTCCCTCCATCCCATGTTCAAACCCCTCGAGTCATCCGTCTTCCATCCCGGTACTGAACTGGTGCCCTTGGTTCTACTTCCGAGATCCCTGGAAAATTAATGTAGCGTACATGGTACAGCTAAGAACAGATGGGATGAGGCATATATGGACTACATATGAGGCGTGGACGATGAATGCGGTGGAGGAGTTGAAGAGGGCCGGGGGACGGAGGGCCGAGAGACAGCGACATGCAGCTCGTGAGCGGAGGGGAGACCGGATTCCCGTGATCCATGGACGAGATTGTGGCTACTGCACCCGAGTCATGGCCGGCCCCGGCCATCCTTCTCAGAGCTCACCCCCCCACCTCGCCCGTCACGTGCCGCAGCTGACCTAACCTTCCTCGCGTCCAAGCCGCGCCCGTCGCGAGGTAGGTGGAGAAAGGGATCCTTCCGCCTGCAGAACCTGTGGGATCCGCTGATGGGGCGGGCCCCAGCGGTGTTGACCGGAACGTCGCCGTGATGGTGGATGGCCACTGCACTTCGACATGGCCCGAGGAATGATGCTCTACTCATAATTCAAGATATGCTAGATTTCATGAGGATTAATTAATTATTGTTTAATTTATGTATAATATATCCTCTTATAAACGGGAAAATCATGTATTATATTGTGCACTTGGGACTTTTAAATCGTTCTGTCTATAACATTATTGATTAGCATCAATAGAATTAAATTTTTAATTCATCTAATCTTCAGAAAACTGCTAATAATGGTTCAAAGTTCATCTAATCATCATACTAGGAAAAATTCAGCACTCAAATAATTTGATCAAATCGTACTGTAATTGCTCTTGCAACTTGGTTAATTAAAATTCACGTCAAAAGAATTATTTTCTTTGATCAGCTATTGGTGGAATTTTTGATGTCTTCTTTGAGAGCCCAAGCAAGCAATTAGTAGAGTATGCACATATTTTATCCACAAGCCAAGCAAATTACAACAAAATAGTTTCTCTCACAAGGGTCTCAAAAGTGGATAGTCCTCGAGAAGCTCCCTTTCTGAAAGGGTGTCATTCTCATCTTGTGGTGTCCATAAAACCTCCACAGCCTGCATAAAACATCGATCAAAGTTATATGGTAATCATGAGATATGAGTGGCATTTTCATCACTATACTTGAGAAAATATCATGAATGTAAGATCTCAATACCAGTGTTTTGCTAGAAGGTATAGAACCGAGCTTCTGCAGTGCCTCTTTCAAGTCCCCGCTGCCATTTATGACAGGTAGTCTGTATACACCCTCAGCAGCAACCAGAATCGTGGCCTGGAATGGGTGACATTAACCGTCACGAGAATAAAATATATGACCATACAATCATCGGAAGAAAACAAAATATTTGAACTATAATAAGCAGAACTAATTTCAAGCATTCCAAAGTTAAGTTTATTCTAGTGATAGACTATCTTTTGCAAGGAGATATGTAGACCGATGAATTAACAACATGAATATAATAAGGAACTAAACACATATATAAAAACAAAAACAAAAAGGTTAAAGCAAGAAATAAAGGAACTGTATCGTACCACAATATACTCGTTGCTGAAACTTTTGAATGTTTTCTTGCTTGTTTTTTGTCTTCTAATGTTGTTCACATTCACAAGTGTCTCTTCATCAAATTTACCTCGCTCTTCAATTGAAAGTTGATTGAAACATTTCTCCCCATCGTCGATACTACGTTTCATGTCCACCTTCCGAATGCAAACATATGATTAAGATCATTTCAAATAAATTTATGCAATACTGTAAAACACATTTGAAGTACAAGAAAGTTTAAAGGGAAATTTTATGAATCTTAATAGTAACCTATACTCTCAATCTTCAAGAATCAGTAGTAGAAGTCAAATTTTATCTTCAAGAGCATGAAATAGTAAATCTAAACTTCATATACAAACACATGTGATATTGGTAAAATCATACCATCTCAAACTTTTCGGATTCTCCATCTCAAAGTAATATTCACTTTTTTTGTAATCTAGTTGACAGAAATAGGCATCTTTATATCAAAAATTACATCAGAATAACTAAATCCCAAAAACATACATGCAAAGGCATGATATACAATACTGATGTCAATTAAAGACAGATGAGCAGAGCATGAAGATAATATTTTAAATTGCATTTAGCAAGTATTGACTTGTTTAATAATGATCTATTTAAACTAACTTACAGAATAGTAAGCAGAGATGCAGCAATCTGGATGACGAAGCAAAGCCAATGTTGTCTCTGGGACACAGAATGATGCCAAAGAAGTGTTCAAATACATCATTAGAAAATGAAAAAGGAGAAATCCAAGTAAAACAAGAAGCATCATGCAATATTTCTACAATAACAAGCAATAAAACTGATCTAGGTTGATCTACAGTACATGTGAAGCCATCGGTTCCTAATATCTATGAAATAAGAATGTTTACATAACATATATTGACATGTTAGCTAAAATATTCAGGCACTAGATGAACTATATAGTTGTTCGTAATAACTTCAACTTTGTTACAACTGTTGAGATCATTCTCCGAAGAAAGATATATTACTTAAGACCATGCAGAATTTGTTTTTGCTGATTCTTATTCACTATCAAACAATAAATCCACAAGCTTGCCTTTGGAAATGTGAGCTTGACAGAACTCAAACTACTAAAGATCATTATACCATTTACATTGTGATGTTAAGCTTGACTCCAGAAATTTCAGTTTGGCAAGAGCCAACATGAGATTATGATCAGCATACTGTTTGTATTATGATATTGTAAGCCTTGCTTAAACGTTGGTTTGTGTAGCATGACCTTGGTATGTAAGTTATAAAATTCTTAACAAATTGTATTAAGTGCAAATTTCTCATTGAAGGTAAGAAAAAATGAAATAATTTTGCAAAACATGACCAAAGTATGATTACTATTCAATGCATTACTTATGGAATATATAGCAACCTAATCAATGGCATAACATTGTAAGGCATGCATTTAATACAAAATCAATCAACATTAAGTCAGAGTAACTCAGATTATTGAGTTCTCTAAATTAGAGTTTTCTAAATTTTCTAAAGGCACACACTTTTTCAATGGGAAACATAAGTTACACAGTTTTAAACAGAAAAATACCAACAGAAGATGCAACTACTCAAGAATGCAGATGTAACAAGTCTCGTCAAATTATAGGATTATAGAGATTAGGTGACAATAAAAAAATTGAGTCACAATACCTGTTAAAATGTAATTCAACCCCTCTGCAGTAGATGTGTCTGCAGCTTCAGCAATCTGATCAAGATCTTTTTGAAACGATCGTGCAGTGTCCAACAGGCCAACCTAAAAAATTAACAAATATTTTAATTATGCTACGTGCAATTAAGTGTTTGTTAAAAAAAAAAAGGACACGTTCCTGATAAAAAAAAACCATCTTGAGAAGTTGTTCTTTTCATGTGTCATGTGAAAAGCTGAAAATAAGACTTACTTTCTATCCAATGGTAAACACCCCAAAAAAAAAACACTTGGCTCCAACAAAATATTTGCAAATTCACAGTTCATAATTAAGAAAAAAGCCATAGCATCCAGATGGAAGCACTTCTATTGCATACTTGCAGCTAAACTTATTGTGCAAACCGATTTGCTGAGGTATTCCCGATACCCTTAGAACTCTACCCTTGTGGTAAACAAAATAAAAAGCATTAAATGACAAAAGAAGTATCAAATCAAGTAAAAAAAATATTGTCTAAGAACAATACAAATTAAGAGCAAAAAAAAAGACACATGTGCCTAAAATTTCACATAGAGTGGATATTCAATGTATTCAACCAAGGATTTACCTTGCAATACGAATGACAATCAGCTACCTGAAAATACTCAACTGGGACAATACAAACAAAGAAACCACTATCAAGAATCAACAATGCACACTAGTGTCGTTGTGTGACCATTAGTCCCTCAGAACATCCTCAATTGCCTCTTGCAACTTCCCTGCTCTCCATACTTCTTACATCATTATAGTCATTATCAACTTATCACCATCAATGCTTACAATGTGATTGACACTTCAGTATATCTAAAAAGGCAAAATTTAATGCACAAAGGTTCTTCCACATGTATAGTCTAGAGAGGATCAATGTATGCAGCCTTACTCCTACAAATAGAAAGGTTGCTTTCATGATTCAAATCCTAATCGTTCAGGTCGCAAAGGAACAACTAACCATTAAACCAAAGATTGTTCTTACACTTTAATGTATCTATTGATCGTATTTAGAAGAAAAAAGGCCCATATATCCAAACACCTCAACACTCAGCTTTTCCACCAAGTTTGAGAATTAATTAAACAAAAGGAGGATACCGATACCTGTATGGCTGATATTCCATACCCACATCCAGCGCAAAGTAGGCATACAAAAACAACTTCTCTACATCTGAGCGTGGAAACATTCATGGTAGTTTGATGATAACCTACATCTTTGTGCTAACGTGGGTACATTTAGCCTAAGCATATAATTTATGATGCTACCTACTACAGTCTTGACAATGTCGGTGAATACGCCAATTGATGGATCAATGAAATCACCAAAGATGGATCCCAACAATAAAAGTTCAATCAAGTTAGAAAGAGGCATGAAAGAAAACTGTCTTTATTCATATGTTCTTGCTTCAAAGTGCCACAAGCAAAACTAAAGCAATGTGAATCATCTTTTAAACTTACCATAATTAAGTACTATCAGTGTGCTTACTCCAAAATATAGAGTATTTCTGATTTATGTCAGAAGACGGTGGTCATAGAGATCAAGAACAAAGGAGCCAACCATAAAGAAGGAACAAGTAAGAACGGAGTGGCCGCACCTGAAGTTTGATGACGCTGGTCCTTTGCGTGGCCGTGAGGACGCTCCAATCGTCTGCTCGATCCGGGAGGAACCCAGAGAGCAAAATAACCGCCACGAACCCCAACATGAGGAGGAAGAAGCCCGACCCCGCGCCGAAACCCACGCCGACGGCCGGCCCCACGTAGAGCCCCCCTCCGAACGGCGAGGGAGTGTAGTAGGGCGCCGAGTAAGAGAGGCTTGAGACGGGAGGATCCGAGTAACACCAGGAAGAGGACGAGTGCGACCGAGAGGACGAGGAGGAGAAGGCCGTCCCGCCCATCCGTCCCCCTGACGCCGCGAGGGCGCCACACGGATCGACGGTGAGGAGGAACCCGAGCAAGACGATGGCGGCCGCCGGTTTCTTGAGCCTGTCCAAGGTATCAAGGACGAATCGCAGCGCCGCGCCCGGGGGGCGATCCTTTTTCTTCTCGGCGGTGGCGGACGGCGGCCTCGGAGTGCATCTGAGGGGGAACCCGATGGGTTTCCGAGATCCGACGACGAGGAAATAGGGTCGAGGAGGTTGGAGGAGAGGATTCCATCGGAGGAGGTGGGGAGGCCTGCACTTGGACGGGTCTCTCCACACGGAGATGGTTTCCAGTAATAAACCAGAACCCATTCTGAAGACGGAGATGGAATCCCAACCTCAAAGAGGAGACGGCGGCAGTTAGAGGAGGAAGGGGAACGGAAAGAGCACGGCCTGAGGCAGGGATCGGAGACGGCGAGATCGTGGTCTCCGCATTAACCATGAGAAGTACGCTTGAAACCCGGACGGTAAAGCTAAGCGGCTTCGTCAATTATGGCCCGGTCGGTTCGCCAGAGAACGGTAGCCTTTGGTTTCTCGAACCTCCCGGTCCGAAGAATCACTATTAACAACAGAAAATACATATATACCTCTCTATATTAATCATTTCCAGATTTACTCCTCCAAAATTTAGTTTAGGATTATATATATATATATACACACACACACAAAGAGTATTCAGTAATATTCATGGGAAATAGTGATTAATAAGAGTAATGGAGGATAAATATGATATTGTTAAATTGTGAAAGGATTAAAATCACCCTATTACACCAATAAATTATTTTTTAAATTTAAAAATCACTACATCAAATGACACATATTCATGTCATACATGAGATCTCACTTGTGCAACCACTAACTAATATATGTCTTAGCTAAGACCTAATAGATCATTTTATGCCAGAAAAATTTACCTCTCTAAAATCTATTGAATAAATAATTAAATTAGTTTAAATTAAATATAAAATAAAAAATCTTAGAATTTAGAATGTTCTTTTGGGAAATTTCATCCCCTTTCACTTTGAAAAATTATTCATCTATCATAACATTACATAGTATTCATCTTTCTACGACATAATTTTTTTTAAAAATAAAAATAAATTAAATAGAATTATTATTGGAAAGTCGTAGATGAAATAGAATTCTGGACAATAACTAAGATTAACTTATAAAGATCTGATGATTATATTATAATAATTTTAGTTTAAATATTTTTATTGATGATTTGAACAAAATGGAATTATTAGTTAGTTAGCCCATGATCATGACATTTGGTATCCTATAATAACATTAATAATATTTATTTTTCTAACACAATATTAATAAGAATAAATTAAATAGTCAAAATTTCTATGTCCCGATATAAGTATTTAAGAAGAAAAGCTATTAATTTGAGCTAAAAATTAGATGGCAAAATCTGTCTTATTTTTCATATCATCATTTTCTCCATCTACACAAATTTTGTCCCTTTCATAACTATATGCGATTTTACATTATTTTCTTTAATAACCTTTTCTTTTCCATTTGTTCATCATATTTTGCTTGGATTTGGAGGAAGAAGTTAACAGACAAATGATTAGGGGAGAGTAAGAACTCATTCAATCGATTAAGTAAATTTATTGTTAATAATTAAAATTAAAAAGTGGTTAATAATATTATTAAACAAGTTATTATTACAAATGTAGGTAAATATATAATAAATTATTTGTGGGTTTTATGATAGAAAATGTTATTTGTGTTGATTAAATAAATTATTCTATTTTTTTAAAGCTGGAGTTGCAATTAATGAAACATAAGCGGAACATAAACTCAGTCAACAGAGAAGAACGGAGAGTCGCAGAGAGGAGTCATTAATACTAATGATCGATTAGCGATGCCACCTTCCATACACAGATGATCACATGAAGGTAACAGAATGGCAAGGCTAAGGGAACGACAATGGCAGATTTATTGGGAGGACTCCTCGTCGCCTGACACGTCACTTCCCGCCGCCGGGATACAGCGAGGCGAGGTCGGTGCCGTCGGGGAGGGTCTTGGGCACGATGCAGGCCTGGGAGCACATGTTGGAGCAAGCCACGTTGCCGACCTGGCCATTGGCGCAGCGGCTGTAGCAGTCGGTGAAGCACAGGGCGTCCGCGGCCGGCACCGTCGAGGAGGCCATGACAAGGGCGACGAGGAGGAGGGCAACCACAACCATCTTGGACTCCGCCATGGTCCCTGCGAAAAAGTGGGGATTGGATCGGGTGAGATCGAAGAGCAGGGACGAGGAGGCGAGGACTGCTGATGGGTGGATGCTTGGCTGCGAGGAAGGAAGGGGTGGGGGGTGGGCTTCTTATAGGGTCGCGGCCATGGCAGCCGAGGAGCGGAGGAGGGCGGTGGAGAAGAAGGCGGCGGTTTGGGGCTAACAGAATTGACCGAGTCGGGCGGTTGTGATGAAGTTGGGGAACAAAAATAACTGAAATGAGCGCTTGAAGAGGTCATTAGCAACAGAATTAAAAGACAATAGTAGTGATTATTCATATTTTAATATCATTAAATCATTAAATCGCTTGGATATCATTAAAAGACAATAGTAGACAACAGAATTTTAATATCATTAAATCGTCCAACTTGAACAATAAAAAATTAATGTATCAAATTTATTTAAAAAATAAAATGATATATATATATATATATATAAGAGATTTTATGTAGGACGAAAAGGTTATCAAACTTCTCAAATTGAACATGATCACAGTAAGTCATAAAAAAAAATTTAATTATTCCATAAAATACGGTAACTTGAATATTTATTATTTTTTAATTTGTTCCAATTTTCTTGATTTGAAAAAAATAATTTTGATGTACAAAAATTCATGATTGCGTGGTAGATTAAATCCGAGCAAACTTGCCTTACATGTTTTTCTTTTGTTTTGACGACGTATTGCACGAAGCATAATAGATTCATCAAATTTTATATATAATTTTCGTAATTGATGTGTATGGCATCCGAACGCATCTCAGTGTCATTAGCCAGCATGAAGGGCTCGATTTGTTTTCCTGTTGGTAATTGTTTGTGAACAGACGTGTCGTGGCTTGTTAGTCAATACGGCCTGGTCCACGGATCGATGTTGAGAGTGTCCCATCGGTTGAATTGGACATCGAAACGTCGATCGACCCTTGGTGTCGGGTTCTTGGTCAACGCTCCTCAGCCTGGAGGTTGAATAGTCAATGGCTTACCTGCGAGGTTGTCGGTCGATGGCTTTCGAGGTTGGGGCACCCGTGAATCGTGGGTGGCCGCTTTCCTGCAGAAAAAGGCCTTCGCCAGGTGATCCCCGACCGTGGCCCCTCCGACGAACGAGTTAGTTGAATGTTTTTTCCCACCCCAGATCCCCCCTTTGTGGGTATCCACGAAGGGTTCTTATACTACGGCATGAGGGTGGGTCGTACGCGGTTTGAGGTGATGGGCATATCAGACAGTGTCTCAGCACGCATGGGCTCTGACCTTGCGTGCGAGGGTGGTGACGTCTTGGATTTATCAGAATGAGGCGTGTGGGATGTCATGACGTGTGATATTTTGGTATGGATTCTGACTTTGCGTGTGGGATGTGATAACGTGCCTTGGGTCCATAATTTGTCATATCAGTAATTATCATGGTAAATCATGTTGTCATGTTAGTTTCCGAATGAGTGATTTTTATAGTAATATATATATATATATTGTAATTATTATTTTTATTTTTTAAGTAGTATTTCTAATTTAAAATTATTTAAATTATTTTCAAAAAAAATATTTCACCTATTATAATATTATAGTAGTTTTAGTTCGCTATAATGTTTTGATCATATATATATATTACGAATGCCCGAAAATTTTCTTGGACAAATAATTAAGGTTTTTCTCTTTCATTTTAATGTTAGAATTTAAAAGCTTACGGAACCGATGGGTTCTTTTTTACTCGAGTAGGTCGAACGAGAGACATTCCCAAGAGACTCGCGAACAAGCTCAGATGTCTCAGTCCAGAATTCCTGCAACCCGCCACCGCCTGTTTGCTGTGATCAGCCCGTCTTCACCCGCCCAGAAGCGATGCTTAGCCTGCAAGCACTCCGCTTCTCTTCCAACCACAGACGCCCCGACCAAGCCTGGGGAGCGAGCACCGCCGCTCTCCCGTAAGAGAGCTACAGCCGACCACCGCACGCTCACAGCCCTGATCGACTCTTTCCTTCACGCCAAGAACCTCAAGTCCGCGTTTTCGGCCGTCGGTTTGATGTTCAAGAGTGGCCATGCGTCGGACGCCTTCCTCTTGAACCTGCTCATGAAAGGCCTCTGCAAAGGCCACTCTGTTTCCGAAGCCGTAAAGCTGTTCCGGGAGATCGAGCATAAGAAGTGGATCCCTGCCGACAGCGTCACGTATAACACCCTCATCAATGGGCTCTGCAAGGAGAAGAGGATGGAAGAAGCTATGGAGCTCTGGAGAGAGATGGCGAGAGCTGGCCCTTGCTGCTCCCCGAACGCTATCACCTACTCGACGATCATGGATGGTCTGTGTAAGGTCGGCAGGGTCGAGGAAGCCATGTCCTTGTTGGATGACATGAAAAGGAGCGGTCTTGACGCCGATGTGTTCGTCTACACTTCTCTCGTAAGCGGTTGGTGTAATGCCGGCTCGGTCGACAGGGGCATGGATCTCTTCCATGAGATGTTACAGAAGGGAGCGCACCCCAATTTGGTCACTTACAGCTGCTTGATCCATGGCTTGTCGAAGCTCGGGCGTTGGCAGGAGGCTGACGATATGCTGCGTAGCATGGCCGATCGAGGGATCCATCCCGACGTATTCACGTATACTAGCTTGATCGATGGGCTCTGCAAAGACGGGAAGAGCGCGGAGGCAATGAGGTTGTTAGATCTCATGGTGGAAAAGGGTGAGGAGCCGAGCACCGTCACGTACAATGTCCTGATTAATCATATGTGCAAGGATGGCCTGATTGAAGATGCTTTCGGGTTCCTTGAGAAGATCTCGGAGAAGGGAAACGTGCCGGATGTGGTGACCTACAACACACTAATCCTGGGGCTCTGTAATGTGGGCAAGATTGATGAAGCGGTCAAGGTGTTCGGTAAAATGCTTGAGAGTAGTTCTAATGTCAAACCAGATTTGATGACTTTTAACACGCTTATACATGGACTTTGTAAGATTGGTCGTGCTCAACAGGCCTTGAATTTACGGAAGATGATGGTAAGGAGAGGGCACCCTTGCAACCTGGTCACTTACAATATACTCATCGGTGGGCTTCTCAAGGCCAAGAATGTTCGCAAGGCAATGATGCTCAAAAGTGCGATGGCTGATGTGGGGCTGAAGCCTGACTCCTTCACATACAGTATCATGTTGAATGGGCACTGTAAAATGAGAGATGTTGAGGCTGCTGAAAGGCTCCTTGGTGAAATGAAAAACAACGGAATAAGTCCTACTTCATATGACTATAATTCATTGATGAGACTACATAGTAAAACAGATAGAATGGAGCAGGCATTGAGTTTGTTTGATGAGATGGATGATAACCACAAACCTGATCTCGTATCCTTTACTATTTTAATTGATGGGGCATGCAAAACAGGAGACTTGGAGTTTGCAAAAGACTTGTTTGCAGATATGCTTCATAGAGGAATTACTCCTGATTTGGTTACTTATTCTGTGTTGATAAATAGACTCGCTGAATCAGGAAAACTGGATGAAGCTATGGAAGTGCTTGACGGCATGAAAGCTAAGGGATTATCTCCAGATGTAGTGGTGTATGATTCTCTCATTCGTCAATTTGGGGCAAAAGGTGAAACTAACAAAATCATTGACTTGCTTCATGAAATGGCAGCTAATGATGTGGCTCTTGATGCAAAATTTGTCTCAACTATACTGGATAATTTACCTTTTGATGGAGAAGACAAGGTCCTATTAGAAAATTTGCCAAACTTCTCGAAAGAAATATCAGAAGGAACAAGCCTTTCATGTCATGAATTAATTAAAAAAATTCAGAGAACTTGTCCTGAGCTCCAAATACAAGCTTCTTGATACAGAGGGAAATTGAGCTTTTGACAATACTTATCATGAGCTGTTTCTATCGGTATGTTCTTGGACACTTGAAATACCCTATTTCCTTTTTCTTGCAGATTAACCTTGGTGCAAACCATCATGCACATTAAGATTTTGATTATTTTCTTTTCTGTTTTTGAGGCACAAATCTTGTATGCTTGGCTTTTCTTATTTTTTTGCAGTATTTATTGTACTTGTGGGTGTTGTATGGACCTATTCAACTGCCTTTATCGTTCCCCTTGATGGTTATGATCAAATCTTCTTCTTTTTTTGTCAATTTGTACCATGAAGAAAAGTGTGAAATTTTAAAAACAATTATAACTCTAGTCAATATGACCCTGTCACTCATCCATGTGCAAAACTATTGTTGTACAATTTGCCTTCTTTCATCATGGCTTATAATAGGTTTCCTTAAAACCATATAGGTTGAAAAGTTAAAAAGAACTAAAGCATTTTTTCTTGGTTGTCATTCCCTTAAATCTTCAGAAACATGGAATGGCTCTTCTACCAAACACAATATTGTAGTAACTCATTTCATGTCTTCCATGTCTAATTTTTTAAATGACTTGAGACAGATAATTGGACATGTGAACATCTGACAACCTTAGTTTCCCTAATGGTTCTAATTGCCTAAGATGAGTTGATACTTGCATTTAAGTTACAAGATGATCCTCCAAAAATACAGAATTTATACTTTCCTCAATTAAATATCTTAAGCATAAGGATGATGGCCTTCTTCATATTGGGATTTTGGAAAAGGAAGGAACTACATTTTCTGTTGTAATTGATCAAGATAAACATTCTGATAAATGTAACTCATCTTAAAATCTTGGAAATTATTGTCAGAAATTGGATTTTATTGACATGATTGCCTTTTTTGAAACATTATCTTATCTAATGGTATTTTATGCAGAAATGGAGTTTGTTAATATGTATGTAAACTTAAATCAGTCCTGGACTTGAAAACGTCTCAGTAGAAAAGTTGATGGGTTCAACTGCCTCTTCCAGAAGTACAAATTAGTATCACTCTATTATTTCATTACTCTACTGACTTCCTCATTAAAAACAATTTCAGTTGGCTATTTTGAATCAAGGGAACATGTTCATTAATGGTTCACAAATTATACTGATATGACCACAGTAAAGTTATGAGTTGTACAATTATATGCATGAGACCATGCTAACATGAAGTTGTTCATTTACTACCTTAAATGTTCTGGATATGGTCAAAAAATTGAAGCTGTAGAAATTAGATCAGTATGGTTTATCTTATTCTTCTTGATAGATTGCAAATTCACAAAATGGAATCCTTGCATAACTTTCTTATTATGCAAGGTGATTAAATGGAACATTGTACCTTTCTCCATGTCAAAAGATCAAACGGCTTTCAGCTTAATTGACGTTTGTTTACGGTGGGAATTAAGCTTTACATGATATTTTGATAAATCCAGCAGTACAATTACCTTGTATTGAGTTTCTACTCGGTACTCATAGCTATAACTGCTCTTACCAACTTGATACTATTAATGCAGAGAAGTTCATATATGGTTTTTCCCACCAATGCAGCCTTTAACACTCTATCATTGGAGTTTACTGTACATGATGAACCTTTCAGATGTCCTAGCCTCAACCAAGAAAGTTTCATGCATCAAGAAACCTCGATGAGCAACTGGAGGACAGCGATGTTGCTGACGTCTTACTGGTACTCCTCGATCAGTTACATCCCTTGTTCATCAGCAGGAAGAAGGATTTCTGGTTTTAGACTTCGTGCTTGCGGCATTATGAAACGCCAGGATTCAAGCGCAAGAAGCCGCTGTGGTGGGCTAACTAGACCAAGACTGAAGTGCATCATCCAGCGGTCATGCTTCCAAGTCTTTGCATAAACCTTATTCTAATTACCACAAGTTTGTATCATCAACTGACTCTGTGCACCGCACCCGTCTTCGTACGACGGGGGGTTGGATTCCATAAGGGTTTTTTCGATGCATTGTGTAGTAAGTTCCACTTGATTTACTTACCACTGATTGTAACCTTTTAAAGGGGACAATATGGGATTGACAGATCCAGTAAACAAAATTGTATTGCAGCAACTGTTAATCCAAGCCTAAACAAGAACTCTCTGATCCAGAGATAGTGGTAGGGTTGAGAGAATGTATAGAGCATTTACGGACTCACTGTTGTCATTATTCTCTGTGGAAACAATACATTTGGTCAGGAATATAGTGGACGATGAATTTGGGCAAACATATTGAATATTGCATTAGGAGTTTGTGCCTTTGGTGCCTAATTCATTTGGTGTGTTCTAACAAATAGAATTCTACTTCCCTCCAACTATGATTGATAGTGATAATTAAAATTTCTAATGACTATGATTGATAGTGATAATTAAAATTTAGAAGCTTACTGTTCACTATGTTTTTTATTATTGACAAAATCTTGTTATCAATAACCTCTTAAAATTAATAAAATAATATTTTATTATTTGCACTAAATAAAACGAATAATAATTTCAAAAATAAAAATTACTTTTGAAAGAAAAGTTAAATATTATATATTATGAAATTATTTCGGTATTTTTTTTTCATATATTATGAAATTATAAATAATCAAGAATTTTAGAAAGGTCGAGCAAGCGACAACAGCCCTTGCCGTGGTGGTCGTCTACTCGAGGCGGACGGGCTCCGCGTCTTCGCTCTTCCTTCTTCGCAACGCCTCCGACCGAAGGAGGAAAGGGATAGCACACGAGATTCCATCTCCAAGCGTATTTGGGTGAAGGAAGACAAGATCGGGTAGGATAAAGACTGATGGAGGCCGCGGAGGAAGCAGAAACCAAGGGTTCGGCCTCACCCCCTCCCCCCGACTCCAAAACTGCCTCCGTCGTCGAAGCGGAGGGCGATGTGGACGAGCGGGACCGCTATTCTCGCGAGATCAAAGCTGGTCTCCATCCTTTGAAGGTTCGTCTCCCCTCTTCAAATTTTCCTTCGCTGGCGCTCCTTGTGTCCGACAGGAACAGTCTCCTTTTATCCTAGTTTGCTCTCGATTATTCTTGTTTCTTGTGGTATTTGAGTTGTTCGGTCCATATTTGCGAATGCTTTCCCGCTTCGAACTTAAATTGATATTTATTTAGTGAGCACTGGGAATCTGTGTCCTGTGGACAAGGATGGAGCACTCGAACCAGACTGGTTGTAGAATAGGATGATTTTTGGTGTACTCTCGATATCCTACCTGAGTTCCTTGAACGGGACAACCCTGGGAATTCTCTTTTACAATCTTAGTTATGGCCTTGTAATTGATTAATTATAGAATGAGGCATTTGAAATCTGGAAAATCTTGGTTGGTCAGTGATTTTAGAAAATATTTGTGGGCACTGAATCTTTTACAAGTTTGTTGTCTAACACTTATGTTATTTACAATGATGATTGAGATCGATTGTGATGTATTTACATGATTGCTCCTAAATTGGTGGTATTGATATTTATACTAATGATGTGCTGAAGCCTTGAAAGAATCATGAATTCTAGAATGTCTTATTCAATTCTGTAATTTCTTTAAATACTGAAGGTTTTTATGTTTTCATTCAGCATAAGTTTGTGTTCTGGTATACTCGACGAACACCTGGAGTGCGGTCGCAGACATCATACGAGGATAACATCAAGAAAATTGTAGAAATCAGCACAGTATGTTTCTTCTTACACCTTGTCAATTCCAAATGACACCATAGTTGTACTTATGATGGCAATGCAAATGCGAACTCTAACATGATTAGCTTATGAACATGGTGCATTCATAGGTCGAAGGATTTTGGGTTTGCTATTGCCATTTGGCACGGCCTTCATCACTCCCTAGCCCAACAGATATTCATCTTTTCAAAGAGGGCATTAGGCCTCTGTGGGAGGTATCTATCCTGTTTATTGTTTTGCAATTAGTACCCTTCTTATTTTACTTTGTGTTTCCTGTAAGAGAACCTGTTACCTGAAGAAATTGAAAGAACAATTTTGGATATATTTTAACTCATAAAAGGAAATTTTACTCTTTTGTGATGTTATTTTCTGAATGAAGTTTGATTTAATCAGGATGCTGCTAATTGTAACGGTGGAAAGTGGATATTACGGTTCAAAAAGATTGTTTCAGGTCGTTTCTGGGAGGACTTGGTATGTGAAGCAGATAACCTTTTTTTCCTAACTTAATCATCTTGGTCTTTCTCTGATTAGGTAGGAAGCAGTCTCTTCCTGTCTGAGTTATTTCAGTTTGTTCTCGACTGCTTGACAACATATTTGACCAATGTTTTTCATTTTTTATATTATTTAACTGTGATTGACGTTGTCATTTTATAAGATTCATTAGACATGACCATATGTAGGCCTTTCTTGTAATTATGTTTGAAATTCTGCAATGCATATCAAATCAGGTTTAAATGATGTTATTCTGTGATTTTCTTTTTCCTATACCAGTTTGGGGATATTCACCTGCCAGTTAAGTTTATTGTTTTATTTAATCTCAAATTTGGTTACAGATGGGTTTGATGCATTTAATCGGTTGTCTTAATCCATGGTTAGGGTTGAGGAGTCAAGAGTGGCATACAAATGCATGATACATGGTCAGCTTTTAGCATTCCTTTGTCAGAATAGAAAATGGCCCACCCATTTCTCATGGCTTGGCATGGTATTGAATTCACGCAGGCACAACAACATGGGACATTTGGTAGATGATGGAAATAATGTAACGTTGTGAATCTCGAAAAATAAGCAAGCCATAACAAGTATCAACTGTTTGAACTTCAAAACATTTTTGTCTAAAGCAGGAGGTCTAATAAATGGAAGTTAATATTGGACCAAGTATTAATTCAAGTAGATTTCTAAATGACTGTTGCATATATGGACCCTCAAACCCCACAACGATGCAACCTCATGCATTTGGCATCCTTTTTAAAGATATTGTTATTCTCCACATTTTTAAGTTTTCAAAATTCTTAAACCTCTGAAACTATTAATAGGCCTTGGTCGAAAATCAGGACTTGTGAGCTAAGTAATCTTTCAATCCTTTTGGATGCCAAAATAATTGCTGCTTCTACAGGGAAAGCTCAGATGGAAGTTGAACCTATAAACTTTGCAAATATGGTGGCTGCAAAGTGCATATTTAGGACTATTTTGGGCTGCTAGATTGTTGGTTTTAAAGAGATATTTAGGGACTACTTTATAGTCCTGAAATGTAGGGATTGTGTAATAGAATTGATTGATGATATTAATGATTTTTGATTTTGTAAGGCCTATATTAGAGGTTTAGAGATGATGGTGAATTTTGGGAATTGGAGAGTGGTTGTAGGCTGTGCAGCATAGGTTGGTTGGTGATTGTGACGAGCAGAGGACTGGAAATGGTGCAGCACAGGAAACAACTGTTGATGGAAGGGGAAAAAAAAGAAAGACAAGAAAAGAGAGAAACATAAACTCAAAATCATTCATAGGTTTCACACCTCATGTTCACCGAGGACACCAGAAATTAAAAGTAGATCAACTGCTGACACTCTTATAAACATATTATTGTGAAAACACCAGGAACTTTAATTATTGATGAGCCAAAGTGACTATGACCAAGACCAGTTATGGTTTAGTTCTAGCCCAAGACTTCAATTGATCAAAATTTACATCAAATTGTAAATTACATTGGAGATCCATCTAATATTTTAAAATAACAAATCAAATATTTACTCAACCAGAATTTGACTCTCCTTTTTGGCAACATCTTTTGTTAGTATTTGAAAATTTTTAAACCAGTCTTGACTGCATTTGGTGTCACAACCCAACTGGCCTACTAACTTCGTTAAGTCTAATCCACTGCCCTAAAGTACATCTATCAGACCACCCTTATAAGACAATCCAATGGTGATGTGCCTTCTAGCATCATCTACAGGTAGCTGTTCAATTCCTTCACCATGCCCAAAACTAGGGCTGGCTCTTTAAAGTTGTCACACCCCAAGTGGCTTCCAATCTAGAATTACCAAAAGATGCTAACTAATTAAGATAGTACCACAACATAAAAAACATCATTGTCTTACACTCCATAAGAAAGATGACTCGTAGACACATCACATGACTTGATTCTTTCTTCCATTCCGATATTCATTAGTGTCATGTGACTCTGAAAAATTTTAATCAACACATTACGGTCCTCTGACTGTAAGATGTGTTGTTTAAAATTTTTCAGTCGTATGGCCCTAATGAAAATCAAAATGGAGGAATGAATCAAGTCGTGTGATTTGTCTACAAGTGATCAATGCTATGTTTTCTTTCAAAAACTAGTTATTATAAGTTTGTAACTCAGACTTTAACTTCAATTGCACTTGGATTGTAAGACAATGACGTTTATTTTATATTGTGATACTATCTTAATTAGTATCTTTTGATAATTCTGGATTGGAAGTCCATTTGGGGTGTGACTTGGAACTTCACTAATGAGTCTCAACAACATTTAAAAGGTTCCTAGTTTGTCTCATAAACCTTAATATGTCATTCATCCATTACAAACTCTTCTTGAATCCTCTATTCTCCATTGAAAGACTCCTTGAGGCTCAACATTGACAAATATACGTATGTTATATCTACTCTAAGTCTCAACCTCGTTTCTCTCAAATATATTAAACTTAATCTATGTGCCTAAGATGATGTTCTTCTATCCTTTTAAGATTTTGTGAAGATTCTCAAATTTTCTATAAACGTGAGTTTGTAGGTAAATCCTTTACCCCCAATTACTCTATCTCAACTGGGATTACATCAGATCCATTGTATGTTTCGGACAACCTGTGTTTGAAGTCTTTTTACTGGACAAAACCCTGGGTTGTCTAGGTGACATTCAGAACACCAACCATGGGATGCTTCCTGAGCAATTCATAGGCTAGAAGGGACTATCATATCTGCACAGTGTGACTCTTGCTAAATCAGCTTTCAAAACTAGGGTACAGAATCTTAGGTAGTTTAATTTTATTTTCAGTACTTCCAATCACAATCAAGAAAATCTAGAATAAGTGGGATACTGATCCTATCATTTGAACTTTTGGAGGATCTAATTGAGCTTTAGCTTCTAAAAGTTGTGTTTTTTGTAGGAAGCTGGCATCATTAGCTCATTTTCAATATGTGAGTGCATATGTGGTTTGCTTTCTCAAACACTAAGCATAGCTGCAGTTGAGATAATCTAGAAGATATGTAGGTTGTCCTTTGCAAGACATTATATGGCCTATTTCAGTTGCTGACATACCATAAATGTCATTTTAGAGCACCTGAGGGTTGGTGGGTTCTATTCTCGACTTTGAAAAACTGCATATGTTGTTAATACTTGAAATTTTGAAGAGGTAAAATTCTTGATCAGTGGATAGCATATCTGTATCCTTACGAGGGTTAAATGCAGGTTTGGTGACATGTCCTTGAATGCTAATGGAAAACAAAGAATGCTGTAGAGACCAAGTTAGAGGCTTTTGGATGTAGACATCACACCTGTTAAAACCTCCCTGAGAACCTACAACACTATGCCTTTTAAAGCCATATAATGCACAGCATAATACTGAAGCCCACATGATTCTATCCTTGTCTTTATCTGTGGTCTATTGCTTTTTCGATGCGAGTCAGAATTTTCCAAGTTTCTCGCATATTGTAATTAACTGAGAAGTTTTCATATTAAGAATATTGCTGCAATCGTTTTTTATTTCTTGAACATGATATCATCGATAATTTAAACCTCTTTCCCATCCTGACCAAAAGATTTTGTTTCACCGCTGCTCCAACTTCTAATATTGTTTGGTTTGTGTTCATAGGTATTGGCATTAGTTGGTGATCAACTTGACTATGGGGATGATGTTTGCGGTGCTGTACTAAGCATTCGTTTTAACGAGGACATCTTAAGTGTTTGGAACCGGAGCGCATCAGACCACAAGGTTTTGTATCTTCAACATAATGTCTTTGCAAATGTTGTTCAGATTTTAGTTGATGACATCTTCTGCATTACAAGGCTGTGATGGCTCTAAGGGACTCAATTAAGCGACATCTAAAACTGCCTCATAACTACTTAATGGAGTACAAGGCACACGATGCTTCTCTGCGTGATAACTCTTCGTATAGGAACACTTGGTTGAGAGGATAGACATGGATATTGGAAATCAATCTGATCCTGCCGTCTCTATACTCTTCCCGAGTGTTGGAACCATGCAACTTTGTTGTAACCTCTAACAACTTGGATCTTTTGTTTTCTCTAAATTACGTCTGGTACTTCAATATACTACATTGAAATCTCTATCCAAAATTCTAGTCAGTGCAAGCTTGTTTATTTGCTATGTAGGTTTCATTTTCTTTGATAAACCACCCACGGTATGCTTCTTGGAGACATCACGATCTTATTAACCATTGCAGCACAAGGTTCAAATCTCTTTCTCTTTGGCTGCCATTTTTATGTATCAGTTGCCATCATTACTTTAACCCTATAGGTCTTACTGAACTCGAGGTTTTCTTATATTTCCCGTTATATAATCTGTAACAGGTCAAGGTTGACGTATTGCTGCTCATTTTGCACCCTCAATCTTGGCGTGTCATTTAATGGAAATGATTAAATGCTTGGTTTAATAAATCACGACTATATATGTAACATTAAGCTTCTTAAGCTCAATAAATTCATGTTTTTATATATAGAGGTCATTGTTCGTTCTTTTTAGATTGGCACCGTTCTTCATATCAGATATATATGGATGTATCCTAGGAAGACAGTTATGGTATTATGTGAATCAAATATGTCGTTTCGTACACGGTTGAGGTGAAAATGTTGATAAAATTAGTATTTTCAAGATATATGTGGACAATCTTATACGGACGAATACATGGATCTTCTTTTGAGAACTTCGAATAAAAAATCTAGCAAACAAATACAGGGATTAATTATACATTATTATTGTTAGACCTTAGTGAAGTATCTATTTCTATTTATACTTTCGTTTTCTGAACGAAAATATAAAAATAAAAGGTAAAAAAATAATTTTAATATTTTTTAATTGATGGTGACACACAGTGTTGGTGATGGCTGATGACGGCATCGCTAGGGGTCATATGTGACTATTATTTATGAGAAGAGTGACGACGAGAAGTAAAGATTGTTTTGTATATGCGTCGATGTCAACACAGATGTCGAACGACCCTTTCTCTCGCTCTGTATCTGCATTGATGTCGACGTAGTTGTTGAGTGGTAAAAGGGTTGCTCGGTATTTGCATTGACATTGACGCATATGCAAAGCAACCATTATTTCTTGTCGTTGCTCTCTTCATCTACAATAGTTACCTATGAACCCCAGCAATGTCGTCATCCGCCACAATAGTTATCATTGACATAATTGTTGAGCAACCCTCACCTCTTGTTGTTGCTCCCCTCATCTACAACAGTCACCCGAGTGGCTCTTTCATTGTTCTACATTTGCGTTAATGTTGACGCAATTGTCGAGTGATGAAAGATTCATCGATATAATTGTAGAGCGCCAAATGGATCGCTCGACAATTACATCGATTTTGACGTAGATGCAAACAACACACTCATATTTCATTACTGTTCTCCTCATCCACAATAACCACTTGCGGCCCCTAGCGATATCATCGTCCACCACTACTAACATCGTCTCACCAACTAGAATATTAAATTTTTTTTTAATTTTTAATTTTATATTTTTATCGATAAAATTAATGGTGTTATGATAAATAAAAGTAGATGATTGACTTTTATAATTATAATGATCTTAATATAATTTTTTTTAGTTTAAAAATGAAGATGGATAATATTTAATTAGCCTTCAAATTGGGTGACGAATATATATTATATTTCCGCACTTTGGATTGCAAGTCCCGAACATATTTTTACACCGCCGACGCCCGTCCTTTCTCGACACCGTCCAGAAGTTGCGGAACCTTCGCAAGGGTTAGCCGCTGCGGCCTTCCCTACGCCGCTTTCCATCCCCGTTCTCCGTTTAAACAATCCCAGGTAGTGAATGACTCCACTTCCTTCCTCGTTGTTTTGGTTTTTAATTTTGACTGCCATTTGTTTCCGGGTTGCTGCAAGTTATGACAATTGTGTGCTCCGATGTCGATGAATGGCGACCCTCGTGATGGTCGGTTCGTCGTCAAATCTGTTTGTATATAGCATTTTGAATGTGCACATAGGGTGTTTGTGTTTATGCCTCTGAAACCCATATATCCGATGTTGGCTTGAGTTCCATTATAGTGTTTTAATAATAGGCCCGGGTCTGGTTGGGGTTGCTTAAAAAATTCATGTACAGAGGACAGTTTCTCTTTCACCCAGCGTTTCCTCGGTGCACGGCGGCTGACTTCGTCTCCACCGTCGAACGGCGGCAGCAGCGGTGGCGTATTCCTCCGGCGAGCTCTTGTCACTGCGGCGTTTTCCTCGGCCAACGGCAGTAGCGGCGGCTGCTTCTTCTCACCCCGGTATATCTCTCTCTTTTTCCTCCTCTTCCTCCTTCACCGTCGCACACTCCCTTCTCCTGCCTCCTCCCTCTTACCTCTTCTCCGTTCATCTCAGGCCCCCGCCTCGTCGCAGCCCCCCTTCCCCGATCCCTCATCCATCTTCCCCCTTTCGTCGCAGCTCCACCCTTCCCTGACACGACCCTCCCCCTTCCTTCTCTATCACGCCCCACCCCACCCCCCATCGCAGCCCTCTCTGCTCCTGTTCCCGGACCACAGCCCCCTAACCTCCCTCTTTCTCAACCACCTAACAGAACAGCAACCCACGCCCCCACCGACAGCAGTTCTTCAGCCCCCTATCCTAATGAGCAAATGACCAAAAAATTGGGAGTCTCCCACAGCCACCCAATCAAAGCTCCTCTCCTCCTCCTTCTGTGTTAATATTTTTATTAATATAACATATGAATTTTATATCTGCTAGTATTTGTCAGTACTTTAAATGAATGCAACTTTAATGTGTTATTTTTGTCGAACACGATATATAAATTTTAAATTATAATATTTGGGAGCGCCCCTTGTGCATTTTGGCACCTTGGTGCCTAGTGCCTTTGATTACACTGGACTGAAGATATGTCTCTCGCTTGTACTTTCTTATGTAACTTATCAGCCAAGCGATCTGTCTGCCGTTTTGTGTATATGAAGTGGATCAGCATCAAAGGAGTACCAGTAAGGACTGGCGGTTGTACCATTTTGGCATGTTAATTTTATTACGTTTTTACATACTAAAAATATATAAATTTGTAAAACTCAGATAAAATGTATAGTTTGATGTTCTTCCTGTTAGTCTAATTTTTTTTATTTACTTTATGTTGATATTCACTACTTTGCTTATGATACACTTAATTGCAGGCTTAAAAATTCATATATTAGATTCTTAATGGCCATATTGCTTTATGGCTTTGATTAAAGAACTGGCACATATTCTTCATTTTTAGAACTATGTCTTTTTTTTTTGCATGGATAATAGTATTTGTTATCCATGATTGGGCATAGTTGATGTCTTGATGGCATGCTTGTCTGGGCCTCGAAAGCATGAGCTTTACTGGTGATGTGATCAATGGGAAAATCATTAAGTTATTCTGGAAGTTGCTGCTAGGAGAACTTTTATGTTTATAACACATGGAAGCAACTAACTCTGTTCCTCCCCCTAGGCTGATAGGGACAAGTGACCTCAAGGAATTCACTGTGGTTGGTGACGAAGAACTCAAGGGTGTTGAGTGCAGGCCAACCAATGTTTACATGTTGCAGGCTTCTGAGGCGTTCATTCTGCACAACATCTTCTTCTACAAGCTGTGCCAAGCCATGGCTCTTTATTGGTCTTGGAAACCCAGGGGAGAAATACCGTGGCACAAGACACAATGTACTTTCTCTTCTTTCCAAATTTACTTACTGGACGTATAAGGAACCTACCAGCAAATTCCCTCTTTATGTCATCATGATTTCTTTAAGTACCAGGAGGTCCTTTGTTTGATAATGTTGCAGGTTGGTTTTGACATGATCGATGCATTTGCCCAGTCGCTGGGCATTTCAATGGCATCCATTCATTTCAAGGCTCTTTTCGGTGAAGGTCTCTTTTCAATGGCATCATCATCATCATCATCATTCTTCTTCTGTTATTTAAATACGTTTTCTCTGTTATTAGGAATGGTTGGTGGCACACCTGTTCTCCTTGCAAAACCTCAGACGTACATGAATCTTAGTGGTGAATCTGTAAGTACTCCTTTAAAGAGTAAGTTCTTTTGCATATTTCTTTAATACCTTTTATCTAGTATTCGATCTGTGTACTCCATTGGATGCAAGTCTAGGTTCCAACACGAAATTTTCTGCTTAGGAAAATATCAAGAGAGGCAACAAGAAATAGGTATCTCCTGCTTTGCAAAAACAAAATCAAGGTTTAAGCATATATGAATCTCATCATTGCAAACACAAAAGATACAAAGTTGGTTAATGTTGTTTGAAAATTAATTTATATGATTCCCTAATTTCTTGTTCTTAGTTGCTTTTTTTGTTTTCAAAATCAAATATCGATGTTCTTATTTTGTTGCTGCTTAAATTCTCTATATTATTTCATGTGTGAAATTATTTTCATGATGTGATGAACCGTGATGTATGAATAACGAATGTTTGGTTGGTATCCATCTCTGATATGAATTTGCTACCTAATTCTTGAAATTCCTGTCAACCTTTTCAACTATGCTTCCAGAAATGTTGCTTGGGGAGAGAGGCTTCTAGACATCTCTAAAAAGTAACTCATGTTTCTTTTCGTTGCCATTCTTGCAGACTGGACCACTTGCAGCATATTACAAACTTCCTCTGAATCGGGTCATTGTGGTATCAATCTCACTTTACTATTACATGCTTAGGTATATGAAACTACTCTATGGTGGTCCTATATATAAAAAAAGTGTTTCTGCCTTATTGTGCAGATGTTTGATGATATGGACTTACCATGTGGAGTGCTTCGTGTGCAACCTAAAGGAGGACATGCGCGTCACAAAGGGTATAACAAAGAGAGCCTTTAACTTGTCTTTTCTCTTAATTAGTATTCTGATTTAGTGCTATCCTATGTAATGATCATGGAGTACCTTTGAATTTTCGAGTCACCTGTAACTGAAGTGATGAAACACCAGTCACACCACTGCTTTATTTGAAATCTAAAAGTGGGTTGGACTACTTAAATCAGCTATATAACATGATATGGAATTTGGAGAATCATAATAAAGGACATGGGCAACAATTGTTGATACCTAGAAACTTTATCGAGCATCCAAGTGCAAAATTGAACTGCCTTAGATTTTCTAGGTATTAGGATGACATGTATGCAACCATTACCTAATTTTATCGTTCTTTGTGAATAGTGGCCTGGATTTATCACGTAAGATGATCTTAATTCTTTGCAAGATAGACATGTATGTAACATTAGATCTAATAACTTCCTTTACCTCTCATATTGTCTAGGCCCATATAAAAGTTCAACTTGTACAGGGGTGTCTTTTTGTAAGAAGATTCAAGTTACCCACAAGCCCGTGTATTCACCTATAATCCATGTCACTCAAAACATATGGCAACAACATGTTACCAGCATGGGAATGTTTCATTAAACTGAAAATCTTGGTCACTATGACCAACCAGAATTTCTCATTTTGACTTGTAATTATTTAGCCAACCTTTCTGAATTTATATTTTAAGCTCTTATCAGTTCTTGCAGACCTCAAAGTTTGATGTTGGTGTGATTATCTTATAGAGGTGAACTTGAGAATCCCTAGGAATTTTTATGTCGACGTAGAGTTATTGTGGATCCTATTAGTTGGATTTTGTAAATGTTCATCCCAAATGGTTGCATAAACATCTTGCAACTATGGTTCCCAGGATACATGTCTAATGTTCCAAATGCCTAAAGTTTAAAAGTATCGACGGTAGAAGTCATGTTTGGGATCCTCGCTACTGTTCACTTAAGAACTTTATAGGATTGTATTGGGTCCCTTTTTTTGGAATAAAATTTCTTTAACTTATTACAGGGGTTGAATTTAGTCATGTGGCTTTTTCCAATAGGACCTAAGTTGGGCTATATGTGTTATTTGTATCTGTTGTCTTTTTTCCCTGTGGTTTGCATCATCTTATATCCTCTCATAAATAGATCTTAAAATAAAAAATCAGCTGTAGTAATCCAAAGTGATGATACATCAATTCTCTTGCTGAAATATAGGAAAATCTACATGTTAATCTCATTAGTTCCTAATAAGCTTCTTAATCACCTCATTTATCAGATTGATGAGTGTGATCTACCATTTTCGAGGGAACAGAGAATTTGGCAGACTGAGAATCGGTAAGTACCATTGCAGCTGCTTTCATACGAGATAATTTTCTATCATGAAACCAGCATCTGCTATCTGTTCTTTCAGGGATAGGAAGACCACCTGGGCAAATGGATCCAAGAGCATTTTTGCTCCAAAAGTTCAATGCATCAGCCCGTGAGAGGGTAAGTGCAACCTGTAATCTTGTTGCATCATGTTGTATCAGTCCAGATTTCATGTTTAAGCACAACATGTTACATCGAACGAACCAGATTGATGAGGCATTGCAAGAAGGGGTGGACGTCCTGAAGACACTCTTGACTAAAGGCTTGACAGAATGTGCAAGTTCGACCAACCCATATCAGAAGTACAAGCATTTAAGACTTCAAACATTGCCGGTGTAGCTCTAAATTTTGGATCACTTTGTAACAATCCTACAAGCCAGGAAGATTCTGTAGAAGAAACCTACATATCTTTTGTGATCAATCGGTGGTTCTTTGCCCAGCAAGATATGCTACTGCTTCTGGGTTGGTGCTTAACTACACAGATCGAAAAGCAGTCAGCATTATGACTCATTATAGCAGTGAAGATGAAAGGAACTTCTAAATAATCTTCAACTGGAACAGTATGTGCTGCAGCTTTATGAGGTAAATCTTGTATTGACTTCCAGTTGCTGACCTTTTGCTTCAAGTTGTCTGCAACTTTTCTGTAAAGTCAACAGAGAGGAGATTCTATTCTTTTCACATTGTAAGGGGGCGAGATCTCTGAAAAAAGCTAGTAAATAATTTTTTTAAAAAGAAAACCTGTTAAAATTATTTTATAAAAAATAGTAAATGTTCTAGAAGACATAAAGGTATATAATCCTGGTCTTCAAATTAATAAAATTAAATATTCTGGATATTCATTTATAAAACTTATGTTGATATATATTCTAATCTTATAAATTTCTAATGTTTTCATGCTAAAATTTGAATTTTTTATGTCATAAGTTTATTTTTTATTTTTTTATTTCTTTAATTAAAAACGAAATCGAGGAGGTTATATATTTAAATAAAAATTTCAAGAATAATTAGGATACGCATGACATCTTCTTATAAATTTATAAATAAGTAACAAAATATTTTCCTTCTACAAACTGGCGAGAATGTGAGATAAATGGAGAGAGAATGGACCGGTAAGAAAGAGTGAAGACAAAAGTGGAAGAGCCAAAGACTTCTGCTGCCATCCTGCCTCTTTCCCTCCTTCCCCTCTTCCTCGAGTCTAATCTCAGATCAAGAAAAAGGAGAAGAAGAAGAAGAAGAAGAAAGAAGAGTGGAAAAATAAGCGGGTCAGCGAACGCGTCTGTGCCTGTTTACCCCACGACAGAGGTTGTCTTCTAATGCACCTCTTGTTCGCGGTGAGACCGGTGCCATCTCGTGACCTATCGCCGCAACCCCAACCCTTTCTGTTCTTCTCCTCTGCCTCCGGGTCGGTCGATCGGTCGATCGGCGTGGTGGTGGGGGGTTTTCTCGTGGGATGATGGATAGGACTGCCCCCAACAGCCAGGTCGGTTCGGACCGAGTTGTCCGCGTGCAAGCACCGCTGGTAAGTCTTCTTGCTTCTTCTCCTCTCCCTCTTCCTCAAGATCTGTCGTTCCTGTTGGTGGATTGTGGATGAGATGCCCTGACGACGATAATTTGGGAGAATATGGGTGAGATTCGGAATTGAAGGTTCCGAAGTGCCATGGTTTTGGCTGTTTGCCACCCTGCTTTCTCCAAGACCGATTGGTCATTTATGAGATTCGTGTCTTGATCTTCGATGACATGTTGATGCTGGTAAGTTTTGTGTGTTTGCCTGTGTCCTGCCGAACTGAATCATTCATGCGGTTGCTGATTTTCCACGCAGAAAATGAAGGCTGTGTTTGATGTTTCGTTCATACTGATTTTGCTATGTTTCTGTGGTAGGGATTAAGGATTGTTTCTGTTGTAAGATAATATTTTCTTTTTGGAGGAATGATTGGATGTGAAACATTGTAAAAAACTTTACAATTAAGAATTAGATTTGGTAGAAAAATGTGCTGTTGGAACGATCATCTGCAGTGCGCATAAATAAATTAGATGGTCGTAGGAAGAAGAAGCATGTCACGGTTTTATTTCATTCCATTTTTGTACTCGTCCAAACTACGTTTGTTCTCAATTCATGAAGTCAAAGACCTTTTCCATCCATTAAATTAGCAAATTAGTTCTTGGTTCTCATAAATTAAAAATGGAATAAAATGGTCAGACCATCATAATAGAAATTGCTTGGTGGATTGGTCATATCAGACTGAATGATGTAGTGAAAACCTCATTAAAGCTGATTCTAGCTTTACTTTGCAATATTGGTGTGTATTTTAGCGTGTTGGACCACAAGAGAAAGCAGCATCAGTAAGTGAAAACACACTAGAAGGCTTTCCATATCTGCGATTTGCCTCCGTCCTCGCAGTCCCTTTACCCTTTCACCTCTCCTTTTTTTTGTACCTTTCTCTGGTTCTCTGTAGCTTCCCTGCCATGTATTATGCTTTTTTTTCAATATCATGTCATATCATATTGATCCTCGAAGTAATGTAGTAGTTACCTGTAAAAGCAATAAACATTTCAAAAATTTGAGTTTGATTTCTTGTTTAGTAATTCGAACATTTATGTTCTCCTTCGAACAAGAAGTGTGTGCTCTAGAATTAAGATTGTGCTAACTTTTCCCATTTTTCTTACTAAAGACTTGGTTATAATGATGCGGTCATTTACCACACAAACTACCAGCTTAAGAATGAATTCATTGACATATTCCTTATCAGAACTCGTTTATGTTTTTATGCCTTTTTTCTCAGTGCATCTGATGGTTGGGAACTTTTTCTCTTATTTTTAGTGTTTTTGCACATCAGTGATTGTGGTCCATTAATACTACCAATGTCATGCAAATTGCAGGTTGATTCTGTATCATGCTATTGCAAAGTAGATGCTGGCTTGAAAACAGTAGCAGGAGCTAGAAAGTTTGTTCCTGGAGCTAAGCTGTGTCTCCAACCTGAAATTGTACCCCATGGACCAAGAATAAGGAACTCCCGCAGGGAGAGGAGCAGAACCCAGGCACCTCTACTGCCTGGCCTTCCTGATGATCTTGCTATTGCTTGTTTGATTCGGGTTCCTCGAGTTGAGCACCTAAATCTTCGATTAGTTTGCAAAAGATGGAACAGACTTTTGTCTGGAAATTACTACTACTCCCTAAGGAAAAAGCTTGGGATGGCAGAGGAATGGGTGTATGTTATCAAGAGAGCCCGTGATGGAAAGATATCCTGGAATGCTTTCGATCCTAACCATCAACTCTGGAGGCCACTTCCACCGGTACCTGCAGATTATTCCGAAGCACTCGGCTTTGGTTGCGCTGTTCTCAGTGGTTGCTACCTGTACCTATTTGGGGGTAAAGATCCATCAAAGGGTTCAATGAGGCGTGTGGTCTTTTACAATGCCCGGACAAACAAGTGGCACAGAGCTCCGGACATGCTTCGAAAACGCCATTTCTTTGGCTCCTGTGTTGTAAATAACTGCCTCTATGTTGCTGGTGGGGAATGTGAAGGGAACCAGAGAACTCTTCGTTCGGCCGAAGTTTATGATCCTAACAAGAATAGATGGACATCTATTGCTGAAATGAGCACTGGGATGGTGCCCTTGATTGGGGTTGTTTACGAGGGTAACTGGTTTCTCAAAGGGCTTGATTCAGATGGTCAGGATGTGAGTGAAGTCTATGCACCAACTACCAACACATGGTCCACAGTTAGTGGTGGAATAGTTACAGGCTGCCGAAATCCCAGTATTTCATTGAATGGAAGACTTTATGCATCAGATTGCAGGGATGGATGCAAGCTTAGAGTCTATGAAGGAGCTACCGATTCATGGAACAAGTTTATGGACAGTGAACATCATCTGGGAAATTCTAAGGCCTTTGAGGCTGCATCATTTGTCTCTCTCAATGGAAAGCTTGGTATCATCCGAAACAACATGAGCATCAGCCTCATTGATGTAACAAACCCAGTAAGTAGCATAGAAACAAATAGTGCTCGTGTGTGGGAGGCCATTGCAGGGAAAGGCCAACTGAAGAACTTTGTTTCAAGCTTATGGTCATCTCTCGCAGGTCGCAGTTGGTTAAAGGATCATATTGTTCACTGTCAGGTGCTTCAAGCTTGATAGCTCTTGTGGAATGGAAGACAAACGGCAGGTAGTTCCTTGATCAGCCCACGTAGCAGCTGGTGACTAATCAACCTCAACATCTTAAACAGAGAAATTTGCAGCATGGCTCTTCATTCTCCTACCCCTAGTTGTCTATCTTGACATCTGATATCTTTATTTTGGGGGTTCCAAGTATGACTACACCAGTTACCTGCGAAATAAGGAACATGCTTGATTGCCGAGATTGAGGACTAAATAGGAACTTTTTGCAATGGCCTATTGAGAAGTTGTGTGCTTCATGGAATGGAAAGCAAGGCAAGATAATCCTCATGAACATGAGTTCATAATTGGACAAACCGGGAGTGATCAGAAATATCACGGCCATGGAATTTAACCAAAAGCATATGGAACAATGGGTGATGAAATGAAGTTGAAAGTTATATTTAATACTTGGAGGCAACTTCCATTCTGGTTGTGAACCAGGAGTTGTTGGAAATATTATGGCCGTGAAATTAAACTGAAAGCATATGAAAGAAAGGGTGATGACATGCAGTTTAAAGTTATAGAACTATGAGGTGATACTTGGAGACAACTTCCATTCTGATTGCAAAACCAGGAGTCATCAGAGATATTACGTCCATGGAATTTATCCAAAAGCATATGAAAGAAAGGTTACCGGCATGCAGTTTAGAGGTATACATCTGTCTGTTAGTTCTCATGGTCATTAACTTCGGATTATTGGAAAATCAAACAGTAGGCATTACCATGACAGAAAAGCCACTGCATTTCTGGTAGATTCGACTTCCTGGTGTCATGCTACAATGTCCTTTTCAGCTAGTAGAATCTATCGTCTGTCGATGAGTAATTGATGGAAGTCCTCTGACTCCCTCCTCTCTATGCACATTCAGCATATAATCGATCATACATGAATATCTGATGGGGTTTTGCCTGGGGAGATCTTTCACTCAGTGAGCCGCATAGTGGTCATTCGAAGCAGTGATTATCCTATACCAACAACAAAATCTGGTGAATCTGTTTCGAAAGCATTGCTTTAAATTTGTTCCGTTTGAGGGAAGCTAAATGGTCAACATTAAGTTCCAAGTGGATGGGAAGAACTTTGAACTGATGACGATAGAAAACTAATGTATCTGGCTAAGAATCAAAGGGTTGTTTGCCCGAGCTTGAAGGATTGCCCCAGTCGTAGACCAACAGCCACCCTCCCTTGGGTGAGCGGTCCTACATTTGAGGTAGCTTCTGCCCCTCTTGTAGCTTGTTTGCTTGCCCTTTTCATTGTTGTGTGTAGTGGTGCAGATCTAGCTGTTTTAGCATGGAGATTAAACATTGCCCTTTGTGTGTTCCTATTCAACAACTTGTGCATCTGCATGCGCATGCTCTCTCGATCATTACTTCCACCACATAACAAAGGGTACTCTGCTTGTGCACATTTTCTTTTTTCTTTTTTTTTAACGAAAAAGCATAACATTAGAGATTAAGAGTCAGATTACTAAATTCAATGGAATTATTGCTAGGCATCGACATTATTATGTCAAAATTATTTTTGACTTTGACCCGTTTTACAAACAACAACTGGAGATCGAACTTACGCAAAAACATTCAATTCGTTGTGAGAGGTTATATATAAATAAATATGCATGTCCTCCTCAATCCAACTTCTGCAGCTCCTCAATCAGAGAAAGAACTTTCAACGATGGGAGGCTTCTTCCCATCCATGTTGGAATTTTTCCGGACAATTTATTGTCACCAAAATCAAGAGTAATTAATTGTTTGCAATGCTTCAGAAACGACGGAATTTTTCCGGATAGATTGTTATTATTCAAATGTAAAGATTGTAGATAGATCGGGACTTCTCCATATAAGAGATTGTAAGATAGATCGAGGACTTGAAGTGAAAGCATATTGCAAAAGAAGGGAGGCAGACCACCATCGATTTGGTTACGAGACAAAGATAACAAATAGAGATCCGAGGTTTGTGCGAAGCTCAATGAAATAGGTCCGACAAATGAGTTATGAGAGAGATCCAACATGAATTGAGGAGCAGAAGGTAATCGACCGGTCAAATTGTTGGAGCTCATGTCAAGATCTTGCAAACCTTTCGAGAAATCCGAAAACCAAGCTGGGAGGCTACCTGAGAGTCCAACTCCAGATAGATAAAGACTATGCAATTCCTGTTGAGTCTGAATCCAATCAGGAAATTTGGCTCCTATATGACAAGAGCTCATATCAATAAAGAAGACACTAAAAGGAGGGAGCCAATCATTTGGTAGGATCACATTCAAGGAGTTGGAAACTATTGTGAACTCGAATAGCTTTGTGAGATTCGAAAAGTGTGCTTCCGTAATATTACCAACCAACGAGTTCGAGGAGAGAAATAGATACTCTAACTGAGATAATTGGCCCATACTCGAAGGAATAATTCCGCTCAAATTGTTATCCTTCATAAATAAAGATAATAAAGACGATCCTCGCGAGCAAGTAGACAAACCACGTAATAGATCGGTTAGATCTCCAGCGATATTGTTGTAGGACAAATCTAACAAGGTCAAATTGCATAGGTCACCCATTGCCGTCGGTAGCTGACCGGATAACTTGTTATCCGCTATGTCCAAGGACTTCAAGCGGCGGAGTCTACCCATCGTCTCCGGTAGTTGTCCGGCAACACTATTGTCGAACAAGTTTAATGTCTCCAGATGGACCATAGAACCGATGGTCTCCGGAATGCTTCCGACGACGTCGTTGCTTGATAAATCCAAGTATTCCAGTTCGGTGAGGTTCCCCACGCTCGGTGGTATCTGTCCGGTAATCGAGCAACCTGCGAGATCTAAATAAACCAGGTCACTGAGGTTTCCTATGCTCGATGGTACATCTCCGGTGATGCGAGTGTGAGACAAATCATGGTTGGTGGAATCTCCCCATCGATCAGATTATTATCTCGCAAGCTTAAATGTCGCAAGCTTGTGAGATTCCCCAGCAAATCTGGAATGTGTCCGACGACATTGGAATTATCCGATAAGTCCAGGTGCTCTAGGTGTCTAAGTGCTTCATGTTGGGGATGGAGGAGCAAGGAAAAACAGAATATTACGATACGAGTAAAAAGAATCCTTTCGACTCAAGAAAACTATTGTAGTATTAAAAGCAGGAGGAACATTTACAAGATACCAAGTGCACACAGACTTTCTATCTATCTGTCTCTTTCTCTATATCTTGCTAGATGCACTAGAGCCCCAAGAGCAACCTGTGGCGGCTCGACGGTGAGACTCCCACAGCCAGAAAGATCAAGGTACTCGAGGCTGTCAGATTAAAAGGGGGCAAAGGAGACGGAACAGATGGCAGGTTTGCATCGCTCAAGCATAACACTCGGAGTTTGGGAATGGAATTTATAGTGTAAAGCCAATTGGTTGCGTTGGAGAGGTTGACTTCGCTCATATCAAAGATACTTTAGAGAAGGAATGCGGGTGAGCCACTCGAGATCATCGACGCGTAGATGATAATAACCATACCATCCCTGAAGGTCGAGATAGCGGAGGTTGGAGAGGTTCCCGAATCGAGGAGGAATCGGTCCATCGAACATGGCATGAGATAGGTTGAGATATTCCAAATGCACCGGCGAAGATATCATATCGGGCACAGAGGCGCCCGAGAAGTTATTCGTGCTCAGATCCAAATACTTGAGATGCTTCAGTCGTTGCAAAGAAGGATTTACTCGTCTTCCATACTGTATGCGTAGCGGTAGCGGAGGTCGAGCTTGGTGACATGGCCGGTGGCGTCGTCGCAGGCCACGCCTCTCCACCCGCAGCAGTCTTCGCCGGTCCATGAAGAGAACCGATCGTCGGGGCCGTGCATATCGGATTTGATGGCAAGGAGAGCTCTCCTCTCGCTCTCTATGCAGCCGACATGATCCTCATCGCCAGAGACATGGCCGACACAGCAGGAGCCGAGAAGTAAGGTGACGAGCATTATGACACGCTTTGAGGCGACACGTCCGTCGCTACCAATCGCAGCCATTGATCGAGAGCACTCGAGAGAAAAGAAAGGTGAAGGTGTAAGGTTGGAGAGGCGGCCTCTTTCGGGCATATATATATATGTAGAGAGAGAGAGAGGCACATCACCGGAAGAACTGATCCCGTGGCTAGCACGCAGTCAAGCATACTATATCGTGGCTAAGATGCAGGTCAAAGTCGACTCATTTAATGATGATCTATTGACCGCTTCATTTTCTCGTGTCACACTTGACACTGTTCAAACTTACTTCCATCTTTCAACAAAACAGGATATATATATATATATATATGATAGAGCATAATTTGGCGTTCTTTCATAGCATACCACAGCCACGACAGCAAAATGCGAAACTTAAAAGACGATGTGGCGGATCACGTTAGTGACTCAGATAATGCGACTATCCTCTCAGCTTGTACAAGGTTGTGCAAGCGGCACTATCGGGCACGAAGCTGCCTCGAACGATGTGGTCGGGTATAGAGCCGCCCCGGAATGCTCGAGACGACGTCGCTCGACGATAATTTGTGCAGGTCGACCGTCATCCTCGGGACAACATCATCATGTACAGAGTCATCCCATAATGCTTAGGACGACGTCGCTCGACGTCGATCCTTATAGGTCGACCATCCTCCATGCACAGAGACATGGGCCGACCGTTTAAGGGATTGACGATCATTAACATACGGGATGCAACCGATGTGCAAGTATAAAAACCCACCACCTGGCCAGCACCAAGGAGGACTTTTTTTCAGCACACTCTACTCACTCTCATTCCACTCAATACTAACTTGAGCTTCGGAGGGGTCGAGTCGGGAAATCCCCCTCCCGACCTCGACTTGTGTGCAGAGGTCGACGACAAAGAAACCAACAACAAGACTCTTAGCTCATAGCTCAACCCGATCGGACGCACAATCTCGCCTCCCGAGTCTCTGCGTGGGCGACCTTACACATTCGGGATCGGACCAAGCCATGCTAACTCCTCGACTACTGCATAAAAATTCACCAACAATATATATATAGTTTTTAAGTGATATTAGATTTTCTAAAGTCAAAATCTGATACATTTGTAGGTTGATTCTCTGGTGGAGTATAAAACAGTTTATTTATGAGAAGAAATATAACATTAAATGGTAATTTTATTGGTTTTTATATTTTTAGATGATTTTAGACTTTTTTTTAATCGAATTTGGATAGATTCACACCAAATCCCATAGAACTATACAATAATATATATTTTTTTAAAAGTAAAATTTTATTATTTAAATACGTAAACAGCTATACAAAAAGTCATTTACATCCTTTTCTTTTCGGCGTTGGAAAGTATGGGTTTCTCATGACTATGGTTTGATGTGAATGGAATGGAAGAGGCGAGTCTTCCATGATGGGTCTCGACACCGTAATTTCCATCTTAATCTTCCAAGTAGCGTAAGCTTGGGGAGAAGTAATCTATGGGCGTATGAGGTGTGCACATTCATCGAAGTTTCTCTCTCATGTGGGTGAGATGCAAGTCAAAGTCTTGCATTTGCTTCGTGTTAGGCGTCTGAGGTGTGCACATTCATTGAAGCTTCTCTCCCGTGTGGGTGAGATGCAAGTCAAAGTCTTGTATTTGCTTCGTCTTGCTCGGACGCAAATCGATGTGAATGAGATATGAGAGTTGCTCGCACACTCGTTGAAGCTTCTCTTGGAAACTCTGATGCAATGGTTAAGATATGAGAGTCGATTGATCGATATGGTAGACTTGGGTGTTTCATGAATGAATGATGGAGATTTAGACGTGAAGAAGAGTTTAACCGTGAAAGAAACAAATCAACTCACGATAAAGATGTGAGAGTCGGATGATGATTTGTTGCCCACATTTACTCGATCATTATAAATGGAGTTCCAATTTAATTAACTTGTAAGTAATGCGGATATACTTTTATCTATTATGATGATAATATCGATTGGGACTTTCACGTTCTACTTTCTAAATCTTAATTTAATTTTAATTATTTGTATACCTTAAACATTGCTAAGGTGATGATGTATCAAACCTTATTGTGGATTCGATATCTCATCATATACGATAATAATAATAATAATAATAATAATAATAATAATAATAATAATAATAATATTGGTAATAATATTGAGAGTGTTAGTAGTATTGGAATTGACATTGATATTGGTAATGTTAATGTTAATGACATCATTAGGTAATATAATGATACTAGCAATGATATTGGTAATAATAAGATGTTAGAAATAACAATTTATCGTAAAGTTGAATCTCGTCTTCGTCACTTATCTTTTATTAAAAAAATAGTGATAATAGAATGCATATTCATTAAATTAAAATATCTAATATCAAATATAATATAGAACAACTAGTATGAATTTTTTTATAATAAACAAATAAAAAGAATGAAAGAAGGATAACAATAAAAAGATAATAAGAAAAAAATCTGAATAAACTATCCAATTTGATTTAACTCAAGGAGTGAACAATAGACATAAAATGGGGAAAAAACTGAATTTATCGATTTATTTTCTTATGATCAAAATTGTAATCTTTTTACCTCTTTATATATATACTCTAAATCTAATAATAAAATATAAAAATAAAGAAAATAATTACATCAAATTAAATATATTATCTCCTCTTTAATTTTGAGAATATAATATTTTTGATTTCATTTGAAAAATAAGTTTTTCATATTCTTGATAGATAGGCTTTCATCTTTTGTAAAAATGAATTGCACAAATCTTCAATTAAGATTTGTGATCTTTAATGAAAATCTTAATACGATGTCTTTTATATTTCTCGTATTTACTTTTTTTTCTCTTAGAATAATCTTAAAAATTAAATTAAAATTATTATAGATGTTGAGACTTGTAAGGGTTGTCTCCTAAACCCGGGAAAAGGAGAAAGTGCTATAAAGAAGTATTCAGTCTTCACAAAGAATATCTTTAGTGGACGTCGATGATCTCGTCAGAGGAGAAATCCGAAAGTGGATATAGGTCACCTTGACCGAACTACTCTAAATTCCGATTTAATTTTTATTTATATAATTTAATTTATCCACTTAAACTTGAGACGCATCAATTATTTTGCGAAGAAAAGGTAAATTGTACATCTATATAAATTTCATATATGAAACTAAGATAGTTATCTTTCGTAAAATTCTAAGAGTATTTATAAAAACAAAAAATTGTTATCGATTAAAAAAATATTTGTGAATCATTCATATCTAACTCAAATTAAATGATATGTTGCTGAAGGATTGAGTAGTCATTCTTATCCAACAGCTTCCGTAAACCTAAGCATGACATTTATTCCATGAAGGACGTAACGTAGGCAGGCTTAAAGATGCAAAGCGTTTACACGTACTTGTAAATGAAACTTCATTCATTGATATTTTTCTTTTCTCAAGGATGATTTATCACCAAACTTACCTATTTATACAAACAATTCATAGCTCGACATCAATGTTAGGATATGTTCCCATTTCAATATTTCACTGGTGATTAGATATTTGTTTTTTGGGCCTTTACATCAATATTTAGAGCCATCATCTAAATTAAAAGGGATAAATAAACAAGAAGATCAACAAAATAATAATAATAATAATAATAATAATAAAGTAGTGAAATCTTAGTACGGGTTAACCTATAGGGTAACTCGGATCCAATTATGTTCAGATAATGACATTGGCAAAATCGGGTAGAGCGTCGAAGGCACTTACCTAGATTCGTCCCTCCGATGCTTAAATTAGTAAATGATTCGATTGAGATAAAGATCAACTTAGATTGAGAAGGAGTAATCCAAATGATCTAAGTTGATAAGGAGTGGTGATCATTTTTTATAAAGTACCTGAGATCTTTTATATTGTCATGGGGAGTAGTAAGGGATTAATTTTTATCCTAGAGAATATTATGAATTGTGATACATTCAGGTGCACTAAATCTGAAAATTATAAGCTTATTTTAGATTCTACATATTAAGGATCGATATTTGTGAGTCGAAATATCGATCTTATCTTATCAAATTAATATTCTTTTATCACTGATGATACGACATGTTTTGGAACCCCGGACACGTCACCGCTGACGCCACACGTCAAGTGTACCGAGAAATGGTTCCACCTGTCTCGTCCCGAGAGCTCAGGCGGTGTCATCTGACGTTGCTCCTCACGTCCCAAACACGACGATCGATCAAAAGTCCCATCCCACCCCTCGAGAGTCAGTGACCATGCGCTATCGACCCTGTGCAATAGTATAAAACCATTGGCTGACCTCCAGCCAAGGGGAGGGAGACACAAAAAAATAATCCACCCCATATTGACTTGCTCGTCAGAAGCCGAGGATCATCCAGCTAGGGCCATTTTTTGCAGGCGGATGACCACCTGCGAGCGGTAAACGTCTCAACCTGGGAATCGCCATCTAGCGTACGAGGACGAGCTGCCAACCTCCCCGGAGATGAAAAAGTCATGGCTCATCATAAACGACGCGGCAGACCGAGGAATGCTGATCAACACCTCATCGCGAGGCTCCGATCGACCTCGACATCCAACTCATCCAATAGAAGGCTCCCAACATCAACTCGTGAACCAAGTCTTGCTGACTCATCAGCCACGATATATCTGTTCGTTAACAACTAATATGTTGGTCATGATATTTTATGATAGATTCACTTCATAGAAAAATTTAAGCCTAAATTTATCTTATCTAAGGATAAAAATATATAAGCATTATTAAGTCACGGAAGTCTTTAGAAGGATATCTCACATAATCATCATTTCAAAGTTTGTTAACGGTGCATTTGCCTAACAAGATTTAACACAACATTTATATCTCTTTAATTACTAACTCCTTTTTTTCTTTGCACATACCTCCTAAGATATTAATATTCTCCACACACACACACACACATATGTGTGACTAACCATGGTTTAAATTAGCTAACTTTAGTTATAAAAATACTTCAATAATTTTATAATACTTTTAATATTTTCATCATCATATTATTTTTAAATTAATAATATTTTATGTTTCTAATGTATGTATATATATATATATATATATATATATATATATATATATATATATATATATATATATATATATATATATATA